GAAAACGACACATTGACAATGTGATCCATGAAACTAAACCCACCTAGATGGGACAAGACTTGTTTTTCTTGTGTTTTAACAAATATCAACTATGTTGGAATAAATAGATACACCCTACAGGGGTTGAGTGGATAGACCCAAATGAGAGAGAGAACACAAAGACATCTCTTAAATATTAATAGAATCTAAGTTTAACAAAACCAGTTTCTTGTTCCTTTTTTCTAAATTCAAAATGCAAATGATAGTTCTATGATCAGTTAAACAGGAAAACTGCAAGGGTTTTTTTTTTTTTTTTTTTTTTTTGCAGCATATGTAAACTAATGTGTGTGGGTATTTTTCTTCTCAACTTCCAAGTTTTCTGTCTCAACAGTTCCTTCTCCCAAGAAAGGTGTATCTTCTGTGTAACAAAATTGGATCCATGCACGTGATTCAGTTTATAAGTCATAGTTTTGCTCCAAGTACATTGGATTATTTAAGGTAAGTCATTGAACTCCCATCTTTTAATATTCTAATTACATTAGCAGGGTTTGAACCCTTACTCCATCCCATTTCATCTTTGCCACCTAATAGCCCAGGTGGCATTGAACTCCCTTTTTTATCACAAATGAAGTTTACAACAAATGCCAAAACAGCACAATTTTGAACTAAATAATTATTACTGTCGGATGTCTTAGAGATATTCCGAAGTTCATGACATCTGTTATTTTTTACTTGTCGATATTTATTTAGGGTAAGAACAGATTTTTTGAAGTATATAGGGACATCTATTTTTTTCCCCCACAATAGTAGCTTTATACCGTTTTGAATGTTCCAAAAGTTAGCACTCCATTCAATCAATTCACTGTAGTTCCTACACAAGTCTTAAATCATAAAATGCTACAGAAATATCCAACTCTTTGACATGATCATCACCCTACAACATAATCACATCATCAAAGTACACCCTCGTTCCCAGATAGAAAGAGATACGTAATTGATAACAGCAATCTCAGATAGAGTAAAACTGGGAAACGTGATTTTCCAACTCCCAGGAATCAGATACATAGACCCAATCGAGTGGGCAAAGAAAAAATACATAATTTCAACAAAATTGAAAGACGAAAGAACAACCACTAAAAGTCAAACTATTTTCCTCCATGGAAAAATCAAGAACAGAAAAAAGAGAGTACCCATATAGGGATCTGGAGGAGGCATATGATGAAGAAAGAAGGCGAGCCTTAAGAAGAGAAGGAGCCCGAGAAATCAAAGGGTGCCGAAGCCGCGAGAGTGCCATCCCTGAGAATGCCAAGTGTCTTAGCTCAGCAACTTTCTGGTTCAGCGTTGGGGGCAGATCGCAACGACAACGACGAGTAGGCAAGGAGAGCTCGCGCGTTGGTAGCTAAACAACACAACGAACTTCAAATAAATGGAAAGAAGACCAGGAAGAAGGGCGTGCTCAAAGAAAATTAATGCCAATGACACCTGGATTTCGCTGGGCTTTATTTTGTTTTTGTCCAAACATGGTCTTATATACATTCGGTTGATGACCTCAACGGATGTTATTCCATGCTCCGCATATTCCTACTGATTATATTAAAGATGTTAGTTAAATTAATTAATATGATTTTTTTATAAAATATTCTAAGTATTTTTTTTAGGGATAATTAATCCACAGCTCCTTATAGTTTCAACTAATTTTGAATCAGGTCCTTATACTTTCACCTGTTTTTAATTAGGTCCTTGTATTTAATTTTCTTTTTATCAAGTCCTTATAAGTTCACCTTATTTTTAATTAAGTCCCTGAATTTTTTATTCTTTATTTTATAAATTCTAATAGTACTATTATATAAACATAAAATAGTATATATTATTTAATATTAGTTTATAAACAATAATATTCTAAAGATATTGAATTATTATAATGATTTTAATTTTTTCAGCAAAAAAATTAATTTTTCTAAAAAATCGTCCTGAATTAATTAATTCTATTACTTTTTTATTACATAATTATTAATTTAATTTAATTATTAATATTTTATATTTCAGTATTAATCTATTTAATTAAGCTTATATTTAATTAATAAATAAAAATTAAAAACTACATGGACCTGATTAAAAATTTAGTGAAATTATAAGGACTTAATTAAAAGAAAAATAAATACAAGGACCTAATTAAAAAAAGGTAAAAGTATAAGGATCTAATAAAAAGAAAAAAAACTATAGGGACCTGATTCAAAATTCGTTGAAACTATAAGGACTTGCAGATTAATTAACCCTTTTTTTTATTTCTCTTCCCTTTTTCTACTTAATTATTGTTGTTCTCCCCTCCTCCTTAATTATTACTAGGAAAATATTATGACCTTGTAAGTCATGAGCTGACTCTTTACTAACTACACTAATTTTTATTAGTACATTTGTTATTACTCCTCCATTAATAGTACTATATTCATATAAAAATGAGAAATTAAAAAAGTCAAATAAAAACCCAATTCGGAATTTATGAATTTTGGCATTTTCTCAAAAGCCTTCCTCCATTTTTTCAAGGGCACCTCTACGAGTGACTGTGGGTTTATCCCATTCACGAGTGGAGCTCGTAACTAGCGATGGTTGGAGCTCCGGTCATCCCTTCCGTGACAATTTTATTGTAAAAATTTTGTAATGGATAGTTAACGAAAATTTGTGAATTGTTAATCATTACTCCCGGTTCAAAATATTTTTAAAAAAAAAACTTTGTTGGAAAGGTTATTTTTATATAAGATAACATTCACTTTAATCTAAATATTTACTGAGTTTTTTTTTATTCTATCTTCATATATTCTCTTTTCTTTTCATTCAGTTGTTGCATATTTTATTTATTCTCTTCGTTAATAAAGATATATTTAGAAAAAATATATGTCTTACATATTTATTATTTTAAATTGATTTTAATTAATTTCTTATAACCAGAGGGAGTACCTATTAATATCTATAGTTATCATGTGATTAAATAAGAACAAAAGTTTACTGAACAATTGCAAAAAATTTGATATGAATAGCTAATAGGCACTTATAAGTTGCTAACTGAACTTGTTAATTTGTAAGATTGTCTTGTGATTGACGATGAAAATTTATAGAATAGTTTAATTTCATCATAAAAATTTTGTTAACAATAGCTAATGAAAACTTGTAAATTACAAAATTATAGGTAATAAGGATAACAAAAATAAATCGTTATTTCATGATATGTACGTGTATAATATAGAGAAACTAGAATTATGTTGTAATTGAACAGGAAAAAAACATCTAAAGAGGATAGAAGATTTAAAAAATATAAATATATGAGAGTACAGAGAAAATCAATAAATCGTCAATATATATTAATATATAAAAGTGGAGTAGTTAACAGCCCTTCTGTTAACACATGTCCAACCACATAACTAACCATTTCTTCATTAAAATATTAGAAATAAAAATTAGAAATACGAGATTATATTGTTATCAGGTTATTTATTTATATCATATCATATAATAATTAAAAATAAAGCAGTCAGCAGCCCAACTCCAGCCACAGTAAATATTAGCGGAATAGAAAATTTATAAAAATCAGAAATTTAAGACGTGCGAGTGAAATATTAGCAGAGTATAATATAAAGATTAGATATATCGACCAAAACAATATATAATATTTAATAACCCCAAACAAATCAGAAAAACTAGAAAAATCAGTCAAGCCCTCCTATCCAACGTCATTCCCAGTCCTGGAAAACCCCTCCGCAACCAACAAAACCATCACCCTTCCTAACTGCTCCATCTGTATTAAACTTCAACCATCCTTTTTCTGTGTTCTCCACCCCGTCTCAACCTTGGGCTCCGTTTGGTTGGAGGGTTGTTGAGGGAAGAGAAGGAGATGAGATTAGTGTGTTTAGTTGGAAAAAATAGAAAAGAAAAGAGGGAAGTAATTTGTCTTTTAGTGCTCCCCTCTCTTCTTTTTGCTCCCTTCCAAATTTGGGGTTTTATAGATAGGAGAGAAATATTATGTTTAATATTAACTAAACTACCCATACTAGCTTTTCTATATTTCAAGTTTGCCCCTCTTATTAGAAACCCTTTTCTCACTTCTTTCTCTTTTCAGCCACTAATGATATTTGATAATATAATATTTCTATCATGACAGTAATTTTTTTGTAATATAATATGATAAGTGTATATTAATAGAGGGTGGTGTATTATAATTATATAATATATACATATCATATATATTAATATATACATATCATAATGTGTGTGTATTATAATTATATATCATGTGTGTATTATAATCTCAGATGGGCTGCGAACATGTATATATATTAATCTCAGATAGGTTGCACATATACATATATATTAATATATACATATCATAACGTGTTTGTATTATAATTGTATAATATATACATATCATATATATTAATACACATGCATATGTATTATAATTATAAAATTAATGAGATAGAATATTAAACCTTTTATCATATTTCTTTTTTTTTTAGTTTTATCATAATTTTTATCACATGTAATTGAGGTAATTGGTTCTTTTGAAATTGATAAATTAAGAAATAATAATTTTGATATAAATATTATAATAAAAGAATAAAGTAATCTAAATATAGAAATAAGGACATATTTGTCAATTTATAATTACCTCTCCTCCCCTCTTCTTATGAACCAAATAAGAAATCTCCCCTTCCTTCTCCTCCCCTCCAACCAAACAAAATCCATGACCTCCATTCCCCTCATCTCCCCTTCTTTTAATTAACCTCTCCTCTCCCCCCCTTTGTAGAACCAAACAAAGCCTTATGTCCCCTCTTCCCCTTTTGCTACTATTGAAAGCCTCCCTTACATTCTAAGTATTCTTCCAGTCATAAATATAAGACCCCTTTTTTAATGTAATTTACACTACAAAAGGGGTTTTATATTTAGGACCGGAGTATCTTTCAAAATTACACTATCAGCCTCCTAGGTTTCTTAAATTAACTGTCAAAAAGTTGACAATTCCTCCGGTACTAAAGAAACCAAATGCAAATAGCAAAAGCCATCTTCCCTTCTCCACACTCTCTTTTATTTCTCCTCAAATTTTGTTTAAACCTTTTTCGTAGATTCAAATCAAAGAACTCATCACATCTCTTCCCTCTGAGTAACTCTATGTAGACTTCTTTTGCCACCACACAGTCATGTAGGACATGTAGAACATCCTCGTCAACATTCAAACAAATCAAACAATTAGCGGGGATTTTCAAGATCTTACTTCGCTTCACAGCAATCAGCAAACCACCATCAATAGCCATCCAAAGGAAAGTTTGCACTCTCTTTGGACCCTTCCAGCTCCATATCAAATCCCACATCTTTTTCGCACACAAGGAATCATACCCTTTCAGCAAATTATACATGTCAGCCATTGAAAATTGTCTATGAGTAGTGCAAATCCATCTTGCTCTATCCTCATCCTCTTCGCTATTTGGTCGGAGAACCCCACTGATTTTATGAAGAATGTCCGCAGGCAGCCATTTTTTCAAACCATTCATTTTCCATCCTCCATTCTCATCAACAAGTTCAGCCATTTTTAGAGTTTTCATTTCTTCTAGCAACCAATTTCAAGCTTCTTTTTATTAATGGTTCTTCTTTCATCAACCATTTATCAACCCAGAAGTTTACCTTGTTTCTATTTTTTACTTCCCATCTTATGTTCTTAGTTAGGCGAGACCACAGAGGTCCCAGATTTTTCCACAACACAGAGTCCCCACTCTTTACTCCATACTCTCTTAATAAATCTCTTTTCCTTCCATATTTTGCTTCTAAGACTCGACACTAGTTTTTCTGGTTTTAGCACGTGATAAATCGGTATTTGTTGAGTCACAGACTAAATGCTAAGAATAAAGAATTCTCTTCCATCCACTTAACCTTCTTTGAATCATGTCAATAAGGAAATTAAATTTTGCTTTTGAATTTCTGGCATTGGAGACAAATGCTCCAAGATATTTTTCAACCTCTTCTTCTTCTTCTAAATCCACACACAGACAAAAGCTCTGTTTGTTTTTCAGCACCAATATTCCTAGAGAAAGAAATGGTTGTCTTCTGGAGATTCAACCTGTGACCAAAGCTTTGCAAGCATTATAATACAATCTCCAGCTATTCTCTCTCAGCCTCACAATGGATCTCTATTTAGTTCTTCATGTTTTTGCTTGTTAGCTAAACCCTAAATCATATTCAATTTTTACCTTAAAATTTAAAAAAAAAAAAAAAAGAGCTTTCTGGTTCTAACTCAAATTTCCATTACCTGTTAAAATCGGAAAGTACTTATTTTACATTAACATATATTTCTATTCTCCTAACTTTGTATTTCTTTTATCTTTCTGTTAATTTTATTTTTTAATATGGTTCCTAAACAAATTTTTAAAAGTTTTTTTTAATTTTTCTTAATATAAAATGCCCTTATTTGAGTTTTGTAAATTTTTATCTCTTGTTTTTTTTTGGTTCTTTGATAGATACTATTTTAATGATATATAATAGAAATAAAAATCAAAAAATAAAATAAAACAATTGAAATAAAAGTTAAAGTTGTGGGTTCAAGATGGAGAAAAAAGAAGCCTCCTGAAAACAAATCCCCGTTAAATGCTCTTGGGTCAACCGTAGGCCCCATCAAAATGCCACCAATGGAGTAAGTTGTTGACACTGTTGAATAAGTCGCCCAGCACCAAACAAACAAAAAAATTCGTTGTTGACTATGGCAATGCTGCTAACTGAGGACTAGGAGAAAGCGATGACGTATCTAATGACAGGGGGCTGACGGCTGATGACTCACACCATGATTAGACAAGAAAATGACATGTTTGGTGGTGTGGCGAATGACTCGGACTTTGATTATGATTATCCAATGACGTGTACCTGTAGGTGGTAATTGACTCAACTGCCGACTTGGACCTCTTGATGACGTGTTGTGGTGATGTGGCAAGAGATTCAGCTATTGACCCTGCAGCTTGATGGCATGTACGCATAAGGTAGACAATGACTCAGATGATGACTCGGATCAATCAACATCGTTGTTTAGTGATGTGGTGAGTGACTCCGCTGTTGACTGGGATGCTTGTTGATGCAGCTGTCTGAAGTAGCGATAAATCAGCCACTAACTGTTTCAACTCGATGACGTGGTATGGTGATGTGTTGGATGACTTAGTTGCTGATTAGGACCACATGATGATGTGTTCTTGTGATTTGGCTGATGACTCAGCCGCTAACTGTATAGCTTGATGATGTGTTCACATGAGATAGATGATTACTCAGATGATGACTCAGATCGTTTGATGACATGGTATGGTATAAAAAAAGTCCGTTTTTGTTTCTTTTGGAAGCCTTTTTTGGTTTGTTTAAGGAGAGACATTGATCAAAGAGAAGTAGATAGTAGGTAACAGATGAAAAAATAAGCCTATATTTATTAGTTGAGACCAGCCTATATTCATCTGTTCTAGCATGAATAGATGAATATAAATTTTTTATAGAAAATGTAATATATATATATATACACACACACATTATCAATGTTTATTATTACAACCTGCAATTCCAAAACACATGAACAGAACTAAAGTAGACTCTAGCAACAACGAGAACAATTCAATAAAACAAATCATGTCACACTTTCTACACAAATAAAATCCACAACCCATAATTTTAAGGGTCAAAATAAATGACAACAATAACATCCTAATTAGTTTAGTCAAGCAAAAAAAAGATTAAACACCCTAAATTAATCACATAACACAAGAAAGTTTAAAACAAAAAAAATTTGATAACATTCTAACTTATTTTAAATAGATATTTTAATCCTAATTAGTACCTACAAGCAATAAAGGATTATCTATAATATTAATTAAGGCGATATCCAACCCAAGCTTTCCACCAGCATAATTTGAAGCACTCCCACAACACTAACTATCTACAAGATAATAAAAAATAAGTTATATATAAAAAAAGACTGTAACATGCAAAAAAATATTTAAAAAATTAATTTTTAAATTAAATAAAATAAAATTTTATCATTGTTAAATTATTAAAAAAAAAAACAGCTTTTGGTGGAAAGCTAGGGACATTTTGACCTGGAGAAGAATTCTGGGAGAGGGCAGTAAATGAGAGAAGAAAATGGAGGAAGGGTAATTAGTGAAGGGAAAAAAACAAAAGAGGAAAGGACGGATGGAAGTGGAAAAAAAATGGGAGGAGTAGTAAAGGAAGTTTAAAAACAATGGCGAAGCATTAATTGAAGAATGAAAAGAAGGGAGGACGTAGATGAAAAAAAAATATAGGGGCAGTATAGGTTAAAGAAAATAGGAAGGGGCATTGGAAGGAATTGAATGTGGTGGATATTATATACCCTTATCAAAGTTTTTTTTTTTTTTCAAGCTAGAGAAAGAGAGGCGAAAGAGAAAGAGAGTGAGAGAAGAGGAAGAGAGAGAGCAAGAGGAAGAGAGAAAAATCAAGAGAGAGTGAAAGTTTGTGATGTCTAAAGAATAAGACAAGATTTGTGAATCATTTAGGTACACAAAGATACTTCTTTTTATCAAATTTTTGTTATACATATTTCTTATATATTTAGTGCTTTATATTATTAGTTTCATTATAATATTTAGAGAAAATTTTACCTTTTTGATATGGAGTAAATATAGAGTTTTGACAATATATAACCGTAGAAATTTAAAAATACACTATTAAGGAATTTTAATTAGTTTATATTTGTTCAATGATTGTTTTGAGAATTTTAAATGAAGATTTTAGTTGAAAATTTTGTTATTCAAAGATATATAATGTTTTTACCGATTAAATTTAAATTAAATAATTTATTTGGGTTATTAAATATATTATTGAGATTTTAATCGATTTGAATATTGAATAAGTTAAAAATATATTTTGAAATAATTTTTGAAGTCTTAAAAATTTATAAATTAAGAATTTTATGAAATTAGATAAAATTACAATTTATTTATAATTAAAAAAATTTGTTTGGTTGGAGGAAAAATTTTAAATGAAACTATAATAAATAATTGAGATTTTAATATAAAATGTTTATATTTTAAGAAATATATACATATATATTTATTTAAGTTATTAAATTTAAATAGTCTTATATGTAAATTATATTTTCAAAATAATATTATATCTATTATAAATAACTAGATCTAGGGGTTTAGGCAATTTTAATTTAGAGGCTAGTCTTAGAATTTTAGAGTAGCTTTGAGTTTTATATTAATGAATCTTTATATGCAACTTTGTAGACTCTTGAGAATTTTAGAGTAATTTTTGTGTAAACATTTCTAAGTTAAAGAATACTAGATAACTCTAAAAATTCTTTCATGTACATATGAATTATGTATGATTATATTATGGATTTACTAATTTTTATTATACCATATTGAGATATATGTATTTATTATGACTTTTCAAATAAATGTTTTAATATGTTACAATTTGTTAAGATTTATTATTATTAATTATGATCAATTTTTAAATATATTGATAGTTATCGGTATAGAAATTTTATTGCTATCTTATTTTAATAATATATTTGAGGATGTACTTCTGATGTAATATTATTTGTATTTGACGTATGCATTGTTAAGCTAAGTATAGAAGGAAATTTGTATGGATATAAAATTACTACATAATATGTCATAACTCGGTACACAGTGAATGACACTTGTCATGGCCCCTTCTTCCATGTTTTCCTTTAGCCAAGAATTTATTAGAGCCATGGGACATGTGTCACTTCCTTATTTGCAAAGGAGGGAAGCCATAGTTCGAACTTGAGCTCTATATCTTTAGCCGGATATATCTCCAGTATCGGTGAGTTTGGAATAATTCACTAAAATGGATTAATTCCTATTAGACTATGTGTTAGGTTATGGCTCTAGTCAGCATTGTAAGGGTGGACAGTGATATAAGGGAGGCTGCATATTACATTATTTTGAATATATTGGAAAATGATGTTGGTATATTGTTAAATTGAAAATGAAATTAAGTTGAATGTATACATCCGTGATTTTCATACATAGAATATATACACACACATACATATAAATGAATTTTTGTTTATCATATATGATTTGCTTGTATAAGTTAGAATTTCAGTAGTTACTAAAACGTTTAATCTCATACCTTATATTAACATTTTCAAGCAAAAGATCTAGTAGAAATCAAGGGAAGGCACTGATGGAGTGAGCCATGACAGCTTCTATACTCCTTAAGCACATGCTATGTTATATTTTTATTTGCCATAACTATAAGACTTTGATCGTTTATTTTGTTATGTCAAAAAAATTCTTTGAAATTATGACATGCTTAGAGTGTTAGAAATACATATGGACTTTTAAATGAAGCATTTTATGACGTATATGAATATAATTAAGTGAGGTGTTACAAATACAACCATTAAAACCAACATTTTAGCAAGCATGTTATAGGCATTTCAAAGGCTCATCATGAGATCAAGCATGCTTCATCCTTAAGTTACAATATAATCAAACACCTTTTGGTTAATTTATTGGCTTTGTACTATAACTAACAACTATTCTCAACATCAATCCAATCAATCGTAACAAGAATCTCTCATTCTTTCTCTCCTGCACATTTTAACAAGTGTGCAATGATATTTACACCATTATCAAATTATAGCTCAAACTAACAATCAACAACAATCCAAGGAAATATAAAAAGAAAAATCACATTCTTAACCAACACACACATATATATATTCAAATACATTTCCCAACACAATCTATTCCATAACTTTTAAAAACTCAACATGAAGATTAACTATATATCCTATTCCAAACCAAAGTTTTCTCCCAGACATTTTTATAAACACCTTGTGTGCTTAACGTTTAATCAAGTTTAACAAGTATTTTAACCTTCAAATCCTTTGTCCAATACAATCTCTTTCAACATTAATCTCTAAAAGTATCATGCTTCTAAAATACAATTCCTTAAATAAAATCAATCAAAACATAAGAACACAATATTCAAAAATATTAACTCACCCACACACCACGCTAATGCTACTCAAAATCAACGGAGAAGAGAAATTTTTCAACTTAACCAACAAACACTGTCGAAAAATGTTCCCAAATATAGTCCTCTACCTACCTCATGGGTGCCTCATTGTGCGAACGAGAGAAGGGGAGAAATGGCAATGCTGTGTTATGCATCCGTGGAGAAGAGACGGAGGATAGGAAGAAAGGTTAGCGATGCGCCAACAAGAGAAGAAGAAGCAGCTCATGAGAACAAGAGGAGCAAAGGGGGAGGTCGTGAATCCTTGCTACTTGCCGATGAGCAGATCGAGCACCATGAGCTGCTTCTAGCTGAGAAGAAGGTAGAGAGAAATGTCATGATTAGGACACACTTGCAGTTTTTGGAAAAAACATATTCATCTATTTGCTTTGTAACACAAGCGTCAAACCCTAATTAGCAGAGATATTACAATGTAGGTATAAGTTTCGAGGTAAAAAAAATAACTCATTTTCAATCTGATTTTTAGAAAAGTAAGATTGGGTAAAAGTTAGATTGAGTAATGTGATTCGTGTTTGGATTGATTTTTATAAAAGTTAATTTGTAAAGTAAAAAAGTTGTTTGGATTATAAGGGCGTACTCATCTCATCTTATTTATAAGACACTTTTAATATATTTCACACATATTAAGAAAAATCTTAAATTCTTCTTTAAAATATAATAATTTTCTAACTTTATCCCTATTTAATATATACACTTCAAAAATAATCATTTACATTATAATAAATGAAAAATAAAATACCATATTCATATTAAAAATTTTAAAAGATGAATTATAAATAAGGTCAAGAAAAACCTTCTCTTTCTGATTTATAAATAAGACTAGAAGAGTATTTGAAATCAAAAGTATGTTTGTACGTTGTGACCTATTTATTACTTTTAATTAATTTTAACTAATTTTTATTAGTTATAAATTAGTTATTTCAAGCTTATAATAAGAATTAAAATGAGTAAAAATTTCTTAAAGATGGAACTTTTTTTTTTTTAACTTCTCTCCCCCTTTTAACACTCCTCACTTTTCTCTCTCTACGATTGAAAAGCATAAATAACAAATTTTTACTTTTGACTTATCCTGGCTTTTGATGGAAAAGCAAAGTCTCCTTGACGCTAATACAAACACCTAAATTTCATCAATCGCACGGGTGGTTGTTTATATCGCACGATTGCCTCCCAAAACACCCTGACAAACACGCTTATTACCTCTAGTCTTATTTATAACATCTTATTTATAAATTATAAATAAAGTTTTATAATTAGAATCACAGATAGTGACAAATATGATTGTTTACATGGGCCTTAAAAAAAGGGATTCTGCCCCTTAAAAAAACAAATTAAAAAGAAAATAAAAAGAGGAACAGCAAGCCAGCAACACTGGCGCGTGGGGCCATGGGGAACGCCTGCGCCACATGGCTGGCATGACTAAACCGCGCCATTGCGTGGAAGCCGTGGAAGTGGCGCATGCTGCTTTCAGCGGATTGCCAGCCAGCGTGTGTTGTCCACTCTCCGTGAGTGAGAATGGGATTTTGCCGATTTTACCTTCTTCTTCTTGTTTTTTTTTTTTTTCAGATTTTCCAATTCCTCTCCCTTCTTGGGCTCTAGACGGCGCGTTTTAGCTCTGATTGAGACGCAGTTTATTTTTAAAAATTTATAAATTTAAGAGCTTTAATTTGACGTGATATTTGCTTATTTTGGGGTACGTTTAGATATATTTTTTGGAGCTCTAAGTGCTATTTTTTATTAGTTAAAAAATCCTAAAATATTTGTAATAATCTATAATAGTTTCTTTTGGACCGTTGCCAATGCATAAAGTCCTAAAAGCACCGCTGTGTGTTTGAATCAAACTCATTCTCGCAATAGTTAATTTTTTCAATTAGCAATTATACTATTTTGTATTTATTCAGTTATACAATGTTAAGGATTTTGTCCTTATTGCTTTCCATATTAGTTGTACCACTGATTGAAACACTTTTTAGTTGTCACAAACTCAAAATGTAGATTTATCAATATTGATGCTTTTTTTTTTTAACCTCATTTCATTTTTTTTGTATTTTCTTTCATGTTTTATTTATTTCCTTCGACATAGTTCATGATGCACAACTTTTTTAGTTCATCCTATTGGCTCGGCTCATCCAAAATAAGTGTCTTAACAACTTTAAAATCTCAACTTCATTTGCTGCTAATTTTTATCTTCATGTCTGATATGCATGTGAAGAGGAACGCTTTGAAAAGAAGACTAGGGACTAGGTGGAGAAAACAGAAGGCAAATTAGCTATTATCCCAAAGGAGTTTGCGGAGGCAGAAAATCGTTTATGCAAAGGGAAAGGTTTGCACAAGGCAAACTACTCGAACTCCAAAAACCTATTTTTGATTGTCTATAACAATCTGATCCTCATATCCCATAAGAAACCCAAGAATGTTTGAATGTTAACCTATTATATTTGGACAATTCTAATGTGAACACATATATAGATGAGTTATTTTTTGTAAACTAATGACATTCGTTTTTGCCTACAAAAGAATTGAAGCAAATAGCCAAGTTTCAACTAATCATTCTGTAATTATTCAATTTTTTGTACTGCCAACAAAATCACCAATTCATCTAACAAATCAACACATAAAATTATCTAATTTTATGTGCTATTTAAAAAACTACATGTTTGTCCGCACGATATAGTTTTGAAAAAAATGAAAAAGGAATGATGTTGTGCATGACTTTTTTTAAAATAATCTTACTTGACAACATAAATTTTATAACTATTTTTCAAAGTTTATATGGAACTTTTTAATTATAAAAAATTACACTTGTGCATATTTTAATGTTGGAAGGTTAGGTTTTTACCCATTTTTACCTAATGATTATTTCCCTTTAAGTTGTAAAAAACGCCTATTGGTTGAACTATGTGAAAATAACTCAATTCCCTTCAGCCAAAATTTGGGGCTCTAATCTAATAATTTACTAATTTGGGCAATCACATTGGGAAGTCTATCCCAATTAAGGTAGACAACCCTGGAAATTTTGTCAACTTATTGAAAATTAAATAGCTGTGTGCGCGAGGGGGCGGGGATGTGAAGGATATCTATTTGCACTCAAGAGGAGGAAAGAATACAAGAAATGAAAATAAAAGTAAAATAATGGCATCCAATCCTTACAGAGCATACACATATATGGACAAAGATATTCAAAGGAAAATCACAGTGTGATTCCAAGGAAGGTATGTAATTACCCAAAAATCCTATAACAAATGAATGAAAAATTCCATGGTAGTAAATGACAACAAGGTCTTGCTTGTCATTAGGATTTCTGTATGGTTATATTCTTTTCTTGGAACCTCATAAGGATTTTCCCAAGATTCAATGGAAAAGTGAATGGCCCAGGTAGGATTAAACGTTTCAGATTAGGCATTATACGAAGATTTAGCTTCACTTTGATTCACTCTCTTCCATGGATCATGTTGTGAATGAGAGACTTCAGTTAGAGCCAAACTCTTCATTCCACCGCTCAAGCTCTTCCCACTTGCTTTTGTTTAAACTGGGTCTAATTACTTTCATTGCCTTCTTAAAATCCTCATATCTCAGTCCTCTTACCTGATCATATTGAAAATTGTCAAAATATAAATAACACATTGTTCAAGCCACCCCTAAAAACAGTGAGACCACATTCAAAGAGCCAAAGCTTACAAAGTATTATGCTGAATAATCTTGAAAAATCATAATTATTTTTAAGAACTATGGTTACTACAATTTTACAGGTTTTACGGAAGTTACAAATTAAAGTTGCTAGAAACTGTAACTTTCTGAAAATTATTCGCTGAAAACTTGATGCCGAGTCTTGTTCTACCAACTTAAGTTCTAAAAAATTTATTATTTTTAAGATTCTTTATCTTGAATTTATTTAAAACATTCATCCTTATTAATTTTCCCTTTTAAGCCCAATTACCCCCCTTCTAATTTTAATTAGTGTCATCAAAATATAAAGTGTGAGAAAAGTAAGCAACCACACTACTTACAAGTTGAGAATAACGCGATTCATCTTTAGCTTTGCATAAATACAAGGAGCCTACTCTAGTTTACATGAAAACCTTTGCTATCAACAAGACAAGATTGCCGATGAACAGAAGAAAAATTCCTGCCTGAACAAAAAACGGCACATAAAATATCATTTATACCCCTAGCCTCAACTTTATAACCAAGATCTCAGCTCTCCCATCTCAAGGATTTGATTACGCAGGTTTTTTTTTTTTTTGGTGCCATTAATTACACAGTTTAGACTAGAGAGATGTGCAAGAATCAACAACACATGAAGTGGTAGGAATTTTTGGTTAACTTGCCTGATTTGACTTAACAGTTAGGATGTCAGAACCCAGCTCTCTTATTGGCATCATTGCCGCTTCTTCACACAAGGCTTGTAGATCACTTCCGGAATATCCTGCAAACCAAAGATAACAAATGTAGTGTCCATCCTTTCAGGGGTACACATTTAAGAAAGGAGATTTCAACACGTTAATTTCTTTTTCCTCAGGATTTAGAAAGAAGGCAATATGAAGAATATACATTGGCTACAATTACCCGCAAAGCTAAACTCTAAAATGTTTCAATTCATTAAGAGAACCAAATACCTTCTGTATCTTTTACAAGCCTTTCCAGATCTCCACCTGCCCAAAAAAAAATAAAAAAAAAAAGAAAGATAAGTAAAATCAACCCCCCCAAAAAAAAAACAAAACAAGGCTGGTGCCATAGGATGCACAAACCAAGACAAGCATCAGTAAATTGAAGAGCAGGTTTCTTACTAGGCAATGAGAACGCTTGACCCTTGAGTTTGTGCTTTAGTAGAAGTCTCCGAACATTTGCATCTGGCAAAGGTACGTAAATTCTCTTCACCTAGTTAGTAATTCACAGAAATTCCACAAAGTTAATAAGAAAGTAGCATGCACTTCATGCCCATTATAAGTAATGGTGTGCATAATATACATTGATTAGAGTCGGAAATTGCCAATCTCTTAATGAATTATTCTTTGCACTAGCTTTTTTTTTTTTTTTTGGTGACAGTTTCTCCAGAGAAAACAATTCAGAAACTTCAATGCAGGAATGGAAAGAGAGAATAGAGTTAGCCAGGAGGAGGGGAATATGAGTGCATTTCTATGAAGCCAAAGAAAAAATTACAAAGTTCACGCTCATTACCAAGAAGCCCAAGTTTGTGCAATTACATAGGACAATATCATGAGAAAAGTTCAAACACAGCTCATAACACTGACATGGTACAGTCCAGCAGAGGTATGCTCAGCAGAGAATTTTGTGGGTCGTAATGCACTTCAGTGTTATTGAATGGGCTTCCTCATTCGTGAATTGTTTCATGCCACTATTCAAGGTAGTGGCCACACCTTTTTTTAACTACTTAAGGTAGAGAATCCACACTTTGAAGATTCACCAATAAAAGAAATGTAATAACTGTTGCAAGTATAATTATTTAGGAGAGCATTATGAATTATGAAAAGGTTTCTTGTACAGCAACCAAAGTGAAGGCTATAAGAGTTATTATACATAGTTGAATCAGTGTAATAGAAGGTTAAAGATCAGTATTATAAGCACACCATTTTTTATATTATTAACATAATGCGCAAGCTAGCATACAGACCCTCTGAAGACACGCTTTCTATCAGTTTAGTTTTCCAGAAAAAATATGTACATCAACTGAAGGATTACTGTATTAAATATAAAATTTTTCCAAATTTAGAAAAGCTACTAATTTCTATTGATCACCATTTAATGCTTGACAAATGTCATATTAATTAAGTAATAACAGCAATAAAGGCATTCTCGTCAAAACAGGTGTTATTGTATCTTTTGTTATAGAGAAAGCAAGGGCTGCAAAATTTGTTATATTCAGGGAGACGGTCAAAAGAGTGCAATTCGGTCAAACGAATGTACAATTTTGGCCATATCTCAATTGATGGGAAGCATAATTCGCCAAAGGTTAACTTTCCAAAGATTAGTTTTGCATCTGTTTGGGGTTTAATGGAACTGAATTTTATAGATTGATCAAGTTAATTGATGTGAATATGTTTTGGCGAATTAATTTGATGCAAAGCATATCCTTTAGGGATTAAAATAGTGGTTTACTTATACTCGTTAACAAATTGTACTTTGATTTCCCCTATCTTCTTAACACAACCATTTTCCAAAATTTCAGAATCGGGAAAAAACAAAGTATATACTTCTGATCAATGATAAGAATGGGTAAATTATTAATCACCGCTAAACTTGCATCAGCAATATTAGATAAGCTATAATATTCTTGCTCATTCCAAACTCTTCTGAATCAGACTGCCATATTGTGCAATAATGGCATGAACAATCATCTTCCATAATGACCGATTGAAGATATACTCACCAGTCTCCGAAGAACTGCATCATCCAGTTCTTGTGGCTTATTGGTAGCTCCTATATTCAGTAGAGAAATTAAAATAATAATGAGTACAAGACCCACTAAGAATTCATTTCCTTCAAAATGCTCTAGATGCCAGATACTGACAATGGTTGCCTTTATGAATAGATTGTGAGAGAAAAAGGATCTGATAAGTAGGCAATTTCAGATCTAAGATAGCATAAGTTTTACATACAGGCTGGACAAGCTAAGGGGACCACTTTACTACAGCAATCAGGTCAACAAAGGAACTAATATGATTCTTAAGATACTATACACTGAGAAGCAACTAAATTTAAAATGGCAGACTGATGAGAAAAAGCAATCATCATGTAGTCATCTTATGATGTGCTCAAAAATACAACAATAGAGGCAATTGTGGACTGGTCCCAAACTACGGCTTATCAACTATTTACTTTTAGTGTTGCAATTGTACTACAACTCAAAACAAAATGTCAACAAACTTGTCTGACAATTTTCAGAAAATTCAAGTCATAAATTTCCATGAATTGTTCAAAAGTCTACATTCACCAGGATTTTATTTAACAGTATCATTTGCTAAAGGCAATGATTGGAAGCCGCAACTGTTATGTTGCATGATTATGTTCAGAGCTTATCTATTTCATTGTAAAGAAGAAAAACTAGAGCCCAATTCATGATAGAACCAAAAGACAGAGAGATCTGGCAACTAATTCTAAATAAGTAAAGGAAGCACTACTAGATATAAAGCTTACCAATAACAATTACAATGTCATCAGGATTGGAGGTTACCCCATCAAATTGGATAAGAAATTCAGATTTTAATCGTCTGCTTGCATCATTCTCATTAGCCAACCTTGTTGACATAATACTGTCAATCTGTTATCAGTAAAAAAATTATCAAATCATAAAATCCTCCTAAAAGTATAATACTTTTGCATGGGGAAAAAACACAACAGTAAATTAATTGTTTTTTTTTTCTTTTCTTTTTTTTTGGGGGGAACTCTGATAAGTGAAGAACACCTAATTTCTGACCATACATTCGCTCCACCTTCTGCACTTCCCCAACAAAAGAAAATATTTACGGCTTTACATTGCACCTAGCAACACTCAAGAGCTAAACATATTGAGAATAATTGATTATGTTGGTCATGAACAGCTTGTTACAGAACCGGATATTGAATGAAATAGACTTGTGATTCTTCCATACTCACAAATGGCTATGACATATATCATCAGTTCAGTGTAAATGCATCAAGTTATCAATCCAATTTGATTCAAAATAAATCCAATAACCTATCGATCTAGAAAACAATGGGATCCATGGTCAAACCATAAAATGATCTACACTTTTAAGAATAATGGTCAAACAAAGACCATTCAATTTTGTTGGGGAAAAAAAAAAAAAAAAAGAAAGACCATTCAATGTTGCACTCTCAAATATGACTCAAATGAGCAGTACCCTCTAGAGAACTAAGTCTGGAAAAGAAGACGACTTCTAAAGTCATGTTAAAATTAAACAAGGGAGATTTTTCATCTGTACAAGAGTTATACCTCATCAATGAAAATCACTGATGGTTGCCTGGATATAGCTACCATGAAAAGAGTCCGGACAAGCTTTTCACCTTCACCAACCTATTGAACACAAGTCAAACAAAGCAAAACTTCTTGACAAGGACATAATCAAAGGAATAACAGCCAACTCAAACGAGTTCAGCAATCCAAAAGTAAAAAACATACCCATTTTGACGTCAAGGAAGCTGCAGATACGTTAAAAAATGTTCCTGCTGATTCTGAAGCTACTGCTTTGGCAAGCATGGTTTTGCCATTACCTGGGGGACCAAAGAGAAGCAAACCTGAAGAATGAAGGTTCAGCTGTTACACCCTTTTGCTTTTTCATTCTACAATTTCAGTATAAATAAAACCAGTTTCAATGCAGTTCCAATAGAATCACCTCTGGCTGGCCTTCGAAGACCAGTGAATAAATCTCTTCTCTTAGTTGGCAAAATAACCATTTCCATTAGTGCTTGCTTCGCCTTCTCAAGACCCGCTGCGTACCCCACACTTAGAATCTCATGATAATAAGTATGAAAGAAAAAGAGAAGCAAAAATATACTATATATCACGGTATCTTACCAATATCTTCCCATCTAACAGAAGGACTTCTGTCTACTATGGCAGTGTTAATTGTTTCAACTAATTTTGCATCATAATTTCCGCCAGATGTCTGACTAGATTTTGGGCTTACATCTTTATCCATATGGTTTGTTCTTTGATGATTCTTTTGCTGCACGCCTTTTCTAGCATTTGATGGCTTAAATGAAACTGCAGCAGTTTGTCCCTCAGTTGCAGTTTTCTGCGAACAGTTTTGAAGAAAAGAAACCACAATAGTAAATTTATATCTGTAGAACTACCTTACACCACTATTTCAGCACGTACATTTCATAGAACTACAGTGTTGCACATTTTATGCTGCATAGACTATGGTGTACGTCTGAATAAAGATGGCTCACCAAGTACATAATTATAGAATAACTCTAACGACTCTTGAGTGAAAAGCTGTCAGAGAGAAACCTCTGTACTTACAACTTAGCTAGTTCACATCGTACCTGAATAGTGGGCTTGCTGCCTGAAATAGCAAGGGGAGAGAAGGAAACAGAACACAAGAATGAAAAATAAGTACCCTACTGAGATCTCATTATTGAATCTTAAAAATTGAAAAAACAAGGCTTGAGTTTATGACATATAAACCTGCTCGTCTGCTTAGAATCTGTAACCTTTCAGAAACTTGACCCTGCCATTTCGATATTTTTTCACGATAAGATTTGACCTTCTGTTGTTCACTGTCACAGGCCAATATATTTCAGTGAGATAACAAGATGAACACGAAACTATAAAACAGCAAGAATAACTTGGTAATGTCCGAAAGGACTACACTTCAAATGCTGCAAATCTAATGGCGTTTCTCTGCGATTAAATCAATGGATTTTGTGCAATTTATAGGCTGCAATCATGCCGGGGAAACAGACGACAAATCTAAAGTTTATTATTTCTCTACTGAAAAAACATTTTAAAAATTTCAACTTTGCAATAAAATAAGCATGTAAAAGGGTACAATTGAGAAAACATTAAATCTTTAGTGCCTCTTCTTTCATATATTTCAGCGGTTCGTGCAGAAACCCATACATAGTTCAAAGCACCCAGCATAACAAATACAGGAACTACAATAATTGATATAATCAGCGAAGGATTGAAGGAATACTGGAAAACCTGGAAGTAATATAGGAAGGCACAGCAGTTGAACTGGCTTCGATCAAAATCCGCTGAGCGCTGTTATAATGAAGAATAGCATCATCGATCAAGCCCCACTCTTCGGCCCTAACAGCCTTGGCAATCTCTTCCTTGGCCAAATCGAAATACCCTTTGAGCTTGTAAGCGACTCGTTCATTAGAAATTGAGGGGGTAGGCCCGCCTTCCATATTCGAAGAGCTGGGAAGGTTGGGATTCGAAGGAGAATCATCATTAGAAGAATTGGGGGAAGACAAGATTGAGCTGAGCGAGTCCATAATCCCCTGCAAGAAGCTCATGGCTGACAAGGAGTTTCATGCTCATGCCTGGCTTCGCGAGGCAACCGTAATATGAGCCCCCACGTCAACGAAGCTTCGATTCTTAATGACGCCGGAATAATTTTCTTTACTCCCTCCGTCATCACGGACATGCTCCGATGCTAAAATTTTTTGAAAAATGAAAAAATTTTAAATTTATTTATATTTAAAGTTACGAATTATGATTGAAGTCATGAGCACATAAAGAGAAGAATACAAATTTGAATCCCAAAAACATATTTATTAGGAGAGACAAAAATAGTTTATGCTCTAGGTCTCAAAAGTAAAAATTCTTAATCAAATAAAAATAAAAAAAGTTGTAAATAAAAAAATAAAAAAAGTTGCAAATTGTATCTGAAAAGAAATTGCATCTCAAAGGGAGAAAAACTGGTCATGCATGCTCTTTAATTATTAATAGACTCTAAGATAATTAAATTTTTTTAAGACTGATTATGATTTTATATATATATACACACACATGCGTGTATACACACATTACTACAATAATCATCTTTATCCTTGTTTAAAGGAGTGTTTGGGTAATATGAAAATTATTTTTTAAAAGCATTTTTTAATAAATCGAGATAAATTTTTTTATAGATTTATTCCTCCAGTCCTAAATATAAGATAAGACTCTTATACACACTAGTATAAGGGTTTTATATTTAGAACCGGAAGAGTATTTCGTATATCATAAAAGCAAATTTTGATTTTGATTCCATCTAAACATTTTTATTGATTTAGAACTTTTTACAGTTTGCAACTACTAGACAATTAGTGCTGAGGAGGTACACGCTTCCCAGAACTTTATAAATACAATACTTTTTGATACAGCGGGAATAAAAATATTTTTACGATATTGTCTGTCACTTAAAAAAAATAAAAGAAAAAGTCATATCAGCTAATTACTAAGTGTTGTAAATAATTGATAAAGTATTATAAATATCTTAAAATAATGGTGTATAATTTGCCAAAACGTGTTGTTATTTAGTAAATTGGTATGTTGAATAACTAATGAATGAAGTCCGTAAAATAATTAATGTTGTGTATATGCTGAATCGGTGACTTTTAGATAAAAAATTTTCACCTGTAGAATTTATCAATTTAATAAAATGGCTAATGAAGTATAGTAAATTGATTAGTGAAGTGAACAAATAAATATTGATTGAGTGGTTAAAACACGGCTATTAATATAGGACCTATTGACTAGAGAGCAATGAAATATATTTTCCATGTATATTCATGATCAGAAAGGGAGATTATATACACAAAAGAGGAGCCTTAGGCATTAATGGCTCATTAATAGGAGATAATATCCTATCGTATAATATCCTATGATATCTGATTTGATTCTATACTAATTACAATATATCTACATATATTTACACTCCCCTTCAAATTGGAGCATAAATGTCAATCATGCCCAACTTGTTACAAAGATAGTCAACCTGAACCCCATTCAAAGCCTTAGTAAGGAGATCACCCAACTGATCACTGGATCTCACGTGTCCTGTTGAGATGAATTTTCCTTGAGTTTATCCCGAACAAAATGACAATCAATCTCAATGTGTTTTTTACGTTCATGGAATATCGAATTAGAAGCTATGTGTAAGGCTGTTTTATTGTCGCACCACAGTTTTGCTGGTAACGAGGTTTTAAGACCAACCTCCTTCAATAACTGATGTATCCAGACTATCTCACACACAGATTGTGCCATAGCTCTATATTTTGCTTCTGCACTTGATCGTGACACCACATTCTGCTTCTTACTCCTCCAGGACACCAAATTTCCTCCCACAAAGACGCAATATCCTGTAGTGGATCTTCTTGTGGCCTTTGAACCACCATGATCAGCATCACAAAAGCACTCAATATCTGTATGACCATGATTTTTGTATAATATCCCATGACCTAGAGACCCCTTCAAGTAATGAAAGACATGCTCTAAAGCTTCCCACTGTCTGATAGTAGGCGAGACCATAAACTGGCTAAGTACACTGACTGGATAGGTGATATTAGGACGGGTCACAGTAAGATAATTGAATTTTCCAATCAGTCTTCGATACCTCTCCGGATTTTCAAACGGCTTGCTTTTAGCAGCATCAATGGGATTCTCAAATAGTATGCTTCTATCAGCATCAAGTAGTGGATTATAAATCATAGGAAAACTGTTTGGCGCAACCCCTAACTTTACAGTTTCCTTCAACAGGTCAAGAACATACTTCCTCTGAGTCAATAAGATTCCTTTCTTACTTATCAAAACCTCAATTCCAAGAAAGTACTTTAACGGGCTCAGATCTTTTGTTTGGAAGTGAGAATTAAGAAAGGACTTAAGTGATGAGATCCCCGACATATTACTCCCCGTAATCACAATGTCATCTACATATACAACTAACAGAATCATGCCAGTGTCTGTTCTCTAATAGAACACAGAGTGATCACACTTACTTTGACACATGCCAAATTTCTGCACAATAGTACTGAACCTATCAAACCATGCACGGGGACTTTGCTTCAGGCCATATAAGGATCTTTTGAGACGACATACTCTCTCACGCTCCCCCAGAGCAACAAAGCCTGGTGGTTACTCCATATTTTGACTAGAGAGCAATGAAATATATTTTCCATCTATATTCATGATCAGAAAGGGAGATTATATACACAAGAGAGGAGCCCTAGGCATTAATGGCTCATTAATAGGAGATAATATCCTATCGTATAATATCCTATGATATCTGATTTGATTCTATATTAATTACAATATATCTACATATATTTACAGGACCTAATTTGAAAATTAATATTAATCTTATATATAAGACATGTTTTACATATTTATCAATTTTTTTCTTAAATTAACTTTATTGATATTCTCTTAATAATAAGCAAATAGAAGACGAAATGAAAGAATTAAGAAAGACGATTACGGTCTTTTAAAAAAAAAATCATATTAACTAAATTTAACTAATATTCTTAATATACTCAAATTAGTTAATTATATCTTATAATAAAAAAATTATTATTATTTTGTATTATTTTAACTAAATGGTTTGGTGGCTTAATAGTAGAATGCACAAGATGATAAATTAAATTTTACCTCCATCACATTTTGCCATGTGTGGTGGCAGGCCAATGTGGTTTTTTTTTTTTTTTAAGGGCACTATTATAAAAACACTAGCATTTTAAAATTTCATTTAAGGGGATGTTTGGATAAGATCAAAACTATGATTTCCGAATTACTTTTACGGTATACAAAGTAAATATGTGGAGGAGTTTGTTCGATTTGCAGAAGAATGCTTCTAAGAAGTGATTATTAGGATATCCAAACACCCTCTAAGTACATTCCCCTTCTCTTGATATTTTTAGTTTCTTATTCTATCATTTTCTTCACTAATATTAACTAAATAAATTAATATATTCAAATTAGTTGATTAGATTTTATAATAGAAAATGAAAAATAATTATTATTTTGTATTATTTTAACTAAATGGTTTGGTGGCTTAATAGTAGAATCCAAAAGATGATAAATTAAATTTTACCTCCATCACATTTTGTCATATGTGGTGGCAGGCCAATGTGGTTTTTTTTTTTAAGGGCACTATTATAAAAACATTAGCATTTTAAAATTTCATTTAAGTACATCCCACTTCTCTTGATATTTTTAGTTTCTTATTTTATCATTTTTTAACTTTGTTTTTCTTTTTTTCCTTTTTATTTATTTCTTTATTATTTATTACGAGTTTTAATTTTATTATACTGTTTTCCGGTTCATTTTAAGCTGTTCATTGTGCTCCCAAGCTCCTCGCCTACACTCAGGCACTGCCCTAATCGTCCGTCTGTACTTCTCTTCCCCGACAAGACGACCTGAACATCGGAGAATTCGGGGTGAAAGCTTCAGCATTTCCAATTCAATTATTTATATTTCAATTGTTATCGCTGTTAAGTTTTGTCATCTATTTGTCCGAGCTGTTTGGAGTCTCAAGTTTTTGCCCTTTTGATTTATTTAGTCATTTTCTCGGGAACCAAACAGGATTTCACTGATAAATGTGGTGTTCTTCTTTTCTTATTTGGGTAGCATAAAGAGCTGAGTAACCAAGTTGGGAATGGCGAGCGCTGTTGATGCTTCGGGGAATCCGATCCCAACGTCGTCCGTGTTGATGGCGGCGTCTAAGCACATTGGGGTAAAATGTCACTCGGAGAATTTGGATTTCCTGAGATGCAAGAAGAAGGATCCAAACCCTGAGAAGTGTCTCGATAAAGGTCGGGAGGTTACCCGCTGTGTCCTCAACCTGTGAGTGGTTTTCTCCCCCTTTTGAACTATTATCCTTATGGATTTCCCCTAAATGCATTGTTCTGTTTGGTATCTGAGAGAATATTTAGGAAAATTTATGATAGAATTGCTGGGATGGTAGGTTTCTTAATGAACCTCAAATGAGAAACGATTGCTTAATTCAAATGAGGTTGAAACAAAGCTGTCATTCTTTGTGAACAAGTTAGAATTGGTTAAACTAGCAATAATAGCATTTCGATATTTGGAAGCATAGGAATAATAATGTCAGTGAAAAATAGACAGTAAAGCTTGAAGATTTATTTGCTTTTTTTTTTTTTGGTTCATTCAATTTCATTTTATTCTACAGCATTCAAACTGTTATATTTAATAGACTTTAATTTACCTGCATCGTTCTGTTAGAGTCTGCTAAACGTTGGTTTTCACTTTTGTGAAATTTGGGATGATTTGGTGGATGAGACTCATATGCTGCTTACAACCTGATCTGCATTGTTTTGTGTATGGATCACTTCCAATTTGAACTCAATACCTCAAGAGTGAAAACAAGATGCCCTCGCTAGCAAAATCCAAGTTTTATGTTATTGTCCTCTGGTAAACATGACTTAAATCATATGCATTCCATGTTATTCTCCAAAGTATGTTTGTTGACATTGAGGTATTTATATGCATTAAGCAATTACTGTGAGTGCAATAACTTCATGTGCTCTCTAGACTTGGGTTCTCTTTTCCCCACCAAACCAGGACTGGCTAATGGCCTATCTTACAAAGGCCTAAATTTGACATGCTTCAAATTTCATTGGAAAATTAAATATTTTTGGCACTTAAGATTTGATGATTTCAATCTGAGGACTGAATCTTGTAACTGATGCTCTGATCACTGTTGCCACACCAAATTTTCCATTTCAAGTAACTGTTAAGTGAAGCAGAATTCGTTGCGATGCCAGTTGAGGATATTTAAAATTTAATTTCAGAATAAACCTGTTAGTGTTTTATCAGAGCAACTGATGCAGATTTATTCTGTAAAATGAAGTTTGGCTTCGACTTCTAGCTGAGGCTTTGTTCTGCTTCAAAGGGTTACATGGTCCATCCCCATATTTAAATATTTTGGTGAAAAATATTTTCGAAGATAAAAATAAAGATTCAGAGCTTCATAGCAGAGATATAACGGGTAAAGAATGGCTTGAAATCTGGAATAAAAAAAACGTATGTTGTGGTGGAGGTTTTTTTTTTTTTTTTTTGGGGGGGGTTACTTGAGCCTTTTCTCACAGAGGAACAACAAGCCTCTAAACATCAAGGGAACAAAAAGATGAAGATTAAATGCTTGCCTTTCTTCTCGTCTTTCTGTGTTGTGTCTTATATTTTTAAATTTTCAAAGATTAATATGTATGTCAGTCCTGAGAACTGACTGTGTACTCACCTGTGAGAAAGTGTGCCGAATGCCTTTTCATTCCTATCTTTACCATTCATTCATTGGTTTTGTTTGTGTGCATGTGTGTGTGTAGAATGGGGGTGTTAGCTGCAATCAGAAAACAAATATGACCAGCAGCAACTACATGGAGTGTAAGAGACTTAACTTCTATCAATCAAAGTCTCAGGTGTGAGCTTTGTAGATGGAAAAGAGCTATCCCCTATCTAAGGCCCGACAATGTTCAAATCTTATATGGTCGCCAACATAGATCCCAAGACAGTTACCCAATAAAGAAAACAAAAATGAAACCCTTTGTTTTTACTTTTTGGCTGCACTATCGCATTTGCAGATGGGATTGCTTTTCATTTGGAAATTTTTGTGGTTGTTAGCTTATCTAATAGTTTTAGATTACTTTTTGGGTCACTTTTGCTCATTCTCTGTAGCCATGTCCTTGATTCTATTATTTTCATGTTTTTCCTAGTAGTTTAGATTATGTTTTAGCATCGGCCATGAGGGAAAAAAAAAACACACGAATAAAATGTATAATGTACGGCAACTCTATTTCCTGAAGATTTGGTATGTGGAGTTGCGCTTGTTTGCCCCCTTTTCTCACCCAAAAAAACAGAAACAGAAACAAGCAAACGGATTAGGATTCGTCCATCATTTATGAATGTTTTTGAACCCATATTGATCATTGAGTTGGTAAAAATTTGTTTAAGTTTTATTGTTCTGACTCTAACCAAACCATAGTTGAAAGGATCAGGGCTAAATTTGTGTGTGTGTGTGTGTGTGTTTACGTTTAAAAAGTTAAAACCCGTATTCACCAATTATTAACTGGTTTTTACCAGTTTTTGATCAATATTTATCTTTTTTTTTTTTTCGGTTGTTTTAGTTCCTGCACCAGATCAGGTTCAATTTGCCAATTCACGTATCAAATCAACCAATTTGGTCTGATTTTTTATAACGTTGCTGGAAATTGCTGTTGTGTTTGTTGACTTTTCCACTGGTGCAGATTTTTTTTTTTTTGGGGGTAATATGCATCATTTTCCTCATTCCAAACTGCCATCTTGTCATGGGGTGCTTTTGTTGTTACTTTTGTTGACAGACGTTGGAGGGAGTTTGATAGGAATCTTGATGGGAATTTCTGTTGGAGTTGACTTCTTGGCCTTTGGGTTAAAAGGAAGCAATCTGTTAGATATCACAAATTACAAATCTTTTCTGAAAAACTTGTTGACTTCAAATGTACATGTAGAGAGAGAAACACAGTTTTAGGCTTAAATTTCTAATTGGTCAAAGTTCTGTTTTGATGCCTCAGGCTAAAGGATCTACACAAGAAGTGCACAAAGGAGATGGATGAGTACGTGGGATGCATGTACTATTACACAAATGAATTTGAAATGTGTCGCAAAGAGCAGCAAGCATTTGAGAAAGCATGCCCCCTAGAATGAAACCCTGCCCTTTCCCTTTATGTTTACATTAATAACACAGGCTGACTCGCAGTGAGTGACCCAATTCTCCATTTTTCTTAAATTACTGTATCACTTGGTTTTTATGGCATTTTTTTTAATGTCTATGTTGCTCATCTAAAAAATTGCGTGAGAAATGCTTCCGAATTGGGCATTTATTATCTTTCAAACATAATAATTGGTTAGTACTGTTGATGTTAGGTCTTGCTTGTAGTGTAATAATCATTTTGGCATTGGCAAACTTCAGCGAGGATTGGGGGTTCCCCCTAAAAAAAAAAAAAAAAAAAAGATTTTAAGAAAAAGAACTCAATGTGATGATGTTCTAATCATGAAAAGATGCGTCATTTGTAAGTTATGGATGATGTAATTCATGCAGGCGGGTTGGATCAGGTGAATGCAATTATCGAATTCCAAAAGAATTGAAGAATTAGCTTATCTTTGTTCATAATGAGAATTTGAATTCTGATCTGGTCTCTAGTAACATCCCATCTTATTGCAGAGTTAGCTTTGCTAGCATCACTCATGGGTTTCCGATTAGAAAAATCCAGATATTTTTATGTAAAGAATCATTTATTTACATATATCTATATGCATATATGTATATCAAGAATTACTGGACAAATAATATTTGCAAGTATATTTTGTGTAAGTGGAGATAAATTTTTTTTTTTTACATATTTATTTTGTATTTCATAAATTAAAATTAAAAAGTCATTTATAAACTATTCTAAATGGAATCAATGTCAATATGTACGGTCTTTTGTTTTGCGCCCGGTATTTTTTTTCTTTTCTTTTTTCCCTTTGGAAAGTCTTAAATGCAGAGTCAAATCTAGTTCATAGTTCAACTGAGAAAGAGAGAGGTCATGTTATTGAACTACCCCGAATGATTTCCGACTCCATCCAGGGGGGAAAAAAAGGGAAAAAGAAAAAACCACAGATGATGGCCATACAAAGAATCATTCCTTCATGTGTTGTGGTCCAAGGCGCTATATGGTTATACATTGTTTTGGGGAAAGAAAATAAGCATCATGCGTTAAGAAATGTCATGATAAACCCAACTGGATATGAAATAGAATTTGGAAAGATGGCCAAAAAAGGGACTTTAAAAAAAGAAATAAATGAAGAAGAACATCAACAAATTCAGTACGGATTGAAAATAATAAATCTTTTGTTGCCACCCCGAGAGCCTCACTGCGATTATACTGTTTTTGGGCCAAATTTTGTGCTACACTACAAACTTTTCTTTTTAAATATAATTCGAAGTATCTTCAAATCATTGTGAATTTAAGACTAATCAGTCTCAGAAGTAATCATATTCAAGACACTGTGAGAACCAAACAGGCACACATTTCCCAACGTACACTTTAAATATTTGACTTCAATGTAGTGAATAAGAAAACACACAGTATGTCCATTTGGGTTTATAATTTGTTCACCTAACTTGCTAATTAATTATGATTAAGAGCCAGCTTAGATTAATTCAAATGAGCTTGACTTTACCGTTGAGTAAAAACAGAAGGCAAAAGAAAGTGTGGTTGTGGAAGCAAAGGAGTCACATGATTGTGCTTAAAGACACCATGCACATTATCGCTTTTACCCCTGAGGATAACATTACAGCATTCGTTAGATGGAAGGACCTGTTTGTCTTTACATTCAATAATGGCAAGTGGGCATGCTCCCAAAAAAAAAAAAAAAGCAGAGCAAATTACCCTCTGGATAGGCAAAATTAAGATATTCACATCAAACAACTTTAAGAGTCATGTCATGGGTTTGTGAATTATTGTTGAGAATAAGTTTTGAAAACAAGAAATCAGAAATTTTTCTAAGCCATTCTGTTTTAAAAATCACAGATAAAAAAATCTAGTCATTAATACAAGATATAAATTTATATTAAGAACCGAATGTAATTGCTTGAAAAGATTAATTTAAGAATGAGTTTTGAATACAACATGAATGACACAGCATCCATTGGCAATTAGTGATGATTTTGTAGGCAACCAACCATGATTTGCCGTGAGCAACAAAATACTGTGATAGCTTGCTAATAATGGTTACAAAGGAATTTGATTTAGTCATGAATATATAATTTTAATTCATTTCATTTCCTAATTTTTTTTAGTTTTTTGTTTAACCAGATAGAATGATATATTCATGAGAAAATTGGGAATAAATCCTCGTTAAAAAATTAATTGGCAAACGAGACCTGAGGACTTTGCACAACTTAACTTTTATTGTGTACAAATTAACTTTTTTTATGTGCAATTTATCTTCTCTTATATGCAACAATCTTCCTTTACGTGATATGCAACTCAATTTCTTTTTGTACAAATAAAATTTTCTTATATGCAAGTTATCTTTCTTATGTAAAAAAATAATCTCTTATATCCAAATAATGTTTTGTGTAAATTATCTTCCCTTTGTGCAACTTACCTTCCTTTATGCGCAGCTAATCTTTCCTTATACAATCAATCATCCTAAAAACTATTTACCAATTAAATTTGTAATTGCAGATTTATCCCAAATTTTTCCTATATTCATTAATATAAGAAAAAAGTACAAAACCCAACAAGAGGTCCTGTTAAAAAATGGCCAACAGACTTAACGACCTAAAAATATAAACCCTCTCTAACTGTGACAAGACTAAGGAAAAAACCGCCATCAAGTTCACGGAAGGAAGTCGCCATCACCGACACTGATGCTAATGTAAGAGGTGGGGGTTTGAGAAAATTCCACCCTAAGGAATCCATTCCCCGGGGCTAAAGAGCAATCAAAATTAATCTAATTTTTAATTAATGATTAATTTAACTAATTTTTTAAAATTTTTGTAAATTAGTTATATAGCTTATATTTAGGGTTTTTTAAATGAGTATTTTTTAATGAATAATATTCATAATATTCATCTTCATCTTCTATCTAAGCATGACTCAACTTGAATAGTAAGGAAAAAAACACAGAATTTTTTTTTTTTTTTGATAATGTCATGAAGCAAGGTGAAGCATATGCAACTTGCAACACTGCTTTTTTTTTTTTTTTTGAGGTGAGACAAATAGTTTGAATATCTCTGCGCACAAGCAAAGGGAAAGCTTCTTCACCCAAAAAAAAAAAAAAAAAAAAGGGAAAGCTTTTGTGAAGAGCCTAAAGTAGCATACAGTCTTATTGGTACAACTAAGAAATGTGTTAAACTACGCAAAGAGCAAAAGAATTAATGGATTCATAGGCTGTGTTTGTGGGACACATGATTATGGTTGATGTGCCACCCACTTCCCAGGTCATTCTCGGATTATCCTCAGCATTATGATGTGAAATTACAATTTTGTCCCATTGTTTTTGAAAATCTATATTAGAGCTTGGGAAAAAATGCTGCCCATTCTTTTGGAGAATTAACTGCCCAATTATCCTTCAAATTGGGAATAAAAATGGCATTGTTTAAAGTATGGAAAATTGAGGATAAAATCCTCATTAAGAAATTAACTGGCAAAATGAAACTTTGTGCAAGTTAACTTACGTGCAATCCATTTTTTCTTCCGTGTAATTATTTTTCTCATGTACAACTCAATTTTTTTTATTCAATTTATATTTTTTTTGTGCAACCTATCATCATAAGGACCATTTTTTAGTTACTTTTCCAATAAGAAATGTATCCCTAATTTTCTTCTTAAAGTTTCAGTGTTCGTAAGTGTTGAAAACACATAACATTGAATTCAAGGATCATTACATAATTGATTCTCTAAAGATGTATTTATAGGCAATTTTCTCTAAACAAATCACTCAAAATTTTTCAATGACCAATATTATTTATAATCAAGTTTGATGAGCTTAAATATTGGTCTATCCAGCTTGATTAAAATTGTAACTTTTAAAATGGGGTGATAATTTTCTTCAAATATGGTATTAAATCCTCTAAAAAAGTTAACTTATATTCCTAAAAATAATGATATCCTAAATAATAAAAGCAGCTTAAATTAAAGTTTACAAAATGTCTTTTTTTGGGGTTAAAATTAGTGAAAATGGTAATAAAAAAAACACCGTGAAATTAGAAAAATTACAAATTAGGATTCATTTTAACAATAATTTTTGTGAATTGGTCCCTGTGTACAATTTTTCTAATTTCACGATCTTTTTTTGTGATTTTTCCTTAAAATTATACTCACAACCTATGTGTGCTAATAATTATTCTAGAGGATTTTAATAACTAACTTTCTAGATGAGTAAAAATACTATTAATCGCTACTTTGTAAGGTTGCTATTACTTCTTCTCAAAATTAAAACTTTCATGCTACTTCTGATCATTTTTAAAAAAAAATTATAATTTTTCAGATTATCTAACATAACTATTACCTAGTACAATTCTCTATGTGATATTTTAAAAAAAAATTTCCTCAGTTTAGCCGCACACCTAAAAGTGTACTCCATACTTTTACTTATCTTCTTCTTTCTTGCCAACTCCTCTTTCTATATTCTCTGCCATGCTAAAGACATATGCATTCATCAAATTGTATAAAGTTGGCACTGTCTATTGCCTATCATGTGATCCAACCTTTCCAAAATATAAAAAGAAGACAAAAATTAGATAAAAAGGAAAAAAAAAGAAATTCAATGCATTAAAATTGAATTTATGGTGAAGATTTTGCGTATAAACGTTGTTTGCTGATTCAAGTAAGGAACATAAGTGCCCCAAGAAAGTGAAAAATTCCCAAGTTCAAACTTGGTGTACCCACTTTTATGATTTTATTCCAATTTTTAATTTATTTTAATGATATTTAGAAATTAATAGTAATTAATTATATAAATATGAAAGGACGTTGATTTTGCGCCATTAACGTTGTGTCAACTTTGGAAACGTCCAATGGCTTTTCAATTCAAACATTTCCAACATAATCCCATTTACAAAGAGGACCCCATTTCTAATCATAGTTCACTTTCCCCTTTTTTTTTTATTACTCTGGACGAATTTAACTATAGAATTAGAAGCCAGATAATTAATCTGGATTTTTCAGTTTTATAAAATAGAATATAGAGAGAGTTTTTTTTTTTTGCTCTTAATGTAAGTCGCCTCATTTAATTTATTATATGAACATACTAATGTACAATTTCATCTTAATTTATTCTTACGAAGATTGTTATTTTCTTAGGAAGTATATATTAATATATAATAAACAGAAGTAAATTTGAAAGGTTAGTAAATTTTGTAATAAATTTAATCAAATTTAAGAGTTTTCTTTGTTTCACTAAAATATGTTAAAAGTTTCTTATAAATATAACAAGAGGAATAGAAATAAATAGAATTAATTAAATTAGTTATTTGTCAAAAAATACATCTCTGAAATATTATTTTTTATTATTTATATTAAAAACTACTACGTCAAGGTCTTAATTATAAAATCTTATTTGTAGTTTATAAATAAAACTTTATAATTAGGACCGGAGGTAATATCACATTAACATAAAGTTCTCTTAATATATACTACTAAAAGTTTTTTAAAAAAATTATATGTTTAATAGATAAATTTGATTGGAACTTCACCCTTATGACTAAATTAAAGCTTAAATTAATCATATTTTAGGGTGGAAAAAATAAAAATTGAAGACCATTCATGTCATCCATTATATCATATATGAAGAGCCAAAGAAGTAAATTCTACGTGCCCTTTTCATTTCCAGCTGTGACCAAATCATACTTGTCTCTGAGTGTGTCCCACGTGGCCCTCCATACTTAACCCATAACTAACCATGGTTAAAAGTTAACCTAACCCAACATTCATCTTTAACTACCAAATCCACCACTTCACTCTCCTCACTCCACTCCTTGCAGCTTTCCAGCATCTTCTTTCTGCTTTTTCGTTTTCCCAGCATGGCTTCGCTTCGAGCTTCGTTCCTCTCTCTCTTTCTCAGCACTCTCACTATCGCAGCCGTTGTCTCCGGCCACAACATCACCGACATTCTAGCCGGCTTCCCAGAATACAGCCAATATAACAGCTTCCTCTCCCAAACAAAGCTCGCCGATGAGATCAACAGCCGCCAAACAATCACTGTTCTTGTCCTGAACAACGGCGCGTTCTCTTCACTCACGTCCGGTCACCCCCTTTCCGTCGTTAAGAAAGCTCTTAGCCTTCATGTCCTCTTGGACTACTACGACGGCCAAAAGCTTCACAAGATTTCCAACGGCTCTACTCTCACCACCACACTGTACCAAACTACCGGAAATGCCCCTGGAAATTTGGGCTTCGTCAATATCACTGACCTGAAAGGAGGAAAAGTCGGCTTCGGCTCGGCGGCTCCCGGATCCAAGCTCGACTCGTCCTACACCAAGTCAGTTAAGCAAATCCCGTACAATATATCCGTGCTTGAGATCAGCGCGCCGATTATTGCGCCGGGGATGTTGACAGCTCCAGCTCCGTCTGCTGACGTTAACATAACGGGGTTAATCGAGAAGGCCGGAGGTAAAACGTTTGCGTCTTTGCTTGTCTCCAGCGGTGTTATTAAGACTTACGAGTCTGCCGTTGAGAACGGTTTGACAATATTTGCGCCGTCCGATGAGGCTTTCAAGGCGCGTGGGGTTCCCGATCTGAAAAAGCTCACCAACGCTGAGGTGGTCTCGCTCTTATTGTATCACGCCGTGTCGAAGTACCTTCCCGTGGGGGCTTTGAAGACCAGCAAGGATCCAATTAGCACATTGGCGACAAAAGGCGCCGGGAAGTATGAGCTCTCAACAACTACCGCCGGCGATGCAGTCACTCTCCATACCGGAGTTGGCTCGTCCAGAGTCGCCAGTACGGTGCTGGACTCCACTCCTGTTGCTATCTTCACCGTCGATAGCGTGCTTCTTCCGACTGAGTTATTTGGGAAGTCGCCGTCGCCGGCACCCGCACCGGCACCAGTGAGCTCTCCTACTCCGGCTCCAGCGTTAGCACCGAAAGCCAAGTCACCTGCTCCAGCTGCTGCTTCACCACCGGCTCCTATGGCAGGAACTCCGGCTGGTTCTCCGGCTGATACTCCGTCGTCGGCAGCTGACCATGGCGCTCAGCAAAAGGCTGCCGGCGCCCACGTGGAGGCTTCTGCTGTTCTTGCCGTTTTCCTCGTTGCGATATCTTCTATTGTCGTATCTTGAGTCGTAGTTGGAGACCTCGGGCTTATTTTTCGTTTCTAATTGAAGACTTGAGTTAATTTTAATTTAATTGGCTTTTATCATAATTTTTTTAATTTTTATTTGTCAGATTTATTTATGAATGTGTAATACAATGTGAATTTCCTCACCTTTTTTTATATTTTATTTTTGAAAAAAAATGTCGGTGAGTTGATGACGCTGCTTGCCGCCTGAGGATATTGCTATTGGAAGTTTCATATCTTGCTGGCAAAAGAAAAGGAAGTTTCTGTCACCTTAAAAAAAAAAAAAGGAAGTTTCATATTATTTTTAATGCTTGAAGAGCACGCCGTTTCCCATGTGAAAAAACCAATGTATTCCTCGAAGTTTTAATATAACAATTATTTAATAAAGTTGAACAGAGTATGCAAATTAGTTAATTATAATAAAAATTAAATTAAAAAAATGGCATTTAAATTTAAAAAATCTCAAAACATCACCTGAATTTGTAAAACCTCACATATGTAGCTAAGTTGGAATATTAAAATGTCAATGAACTGAAAAAAACACAAAGTCGCATTTACTGGCTAGCTGAGTTCTGACAATTCTTCTAGCGAGTGTTACATCTTTATTAACATTATTCTCAGAGTTTTTAAACTGAAATTTTTCGACATCTGTAGACTGTAGTGTAGCTGTGACCACTCATAATAAAATTATAATTTTATTATATGATAAGCTTCTTGTTTTTTTTTTTGGTCAATATTATATGATAGGCTTTTAAATTTGAAGAAGTTAATGACTTAGTGAGTGCACAATCTTATGAGATTTTTTCAACATTTGTAACATGTAACGTGGTTAACAAATCTTTAAAATCTTATAGGCTAATTAATGATATTAATTTAAAAATCTGTTGTATAACATGGTTAATGATGTTAATAGAGTTATTACTAAAATCTTACAGGTTAATTAATAATAAGAATTGGTTTTACATTCTATTTGATTTCAAAATATAAGACCCTAATTCATTTTATTTTTCATATTTATTTATTTTTTTAAAGTAGTCCTTAGAGCAATTATACATGTTAAAGGTTTCATGACATAGTAGTTCTCGTTAATACATGTTAGTGTAAACAACATTTATTTAATACAAATAATTAATTTAAGTAATTTTATTAATTTACTCAAATTAATCAATTAGCTCTTATATTAAAAATTGGAGGTAGTATAATATAGTGTGGTTAATGACATTAACGGATCTGTAAATATCGTTGTAAGAGTTGGCAACACGGTACTAATATAATAACAACAGCAGCAGCAGCAAGCCTTATTCTACTAGGTGGGATCAGTTACATGAATCACATGACGTCATTGTGCTCTATTAACAGCTAACGATGTAATTGTACTCTATTGACAACCAAGATCTTAGATACGTTGTTAACCAAGAGGTGTTGTTTAATGACCTCATTGAGTGTTTTTCTCGATCTTCCTCTGTTTCTTTTTATAGAATTCTATATTGTCTGATCTACTATCTCACCGGGACCTCAAATGGCAATCACAATACCAATGGTGAAAAAAAAAAAATTGAAAATTTTCAAAGCACATGATAAATGACATAAATAGAGCTGGGAAACCCATATAAGAGTTATTAATTAAGTTGTGAATATTGAAAAAAAATATTTCAAATAGATAATTGCCGGTAGCCGAAACTTCAGGGATAGAGCCGCCCCAACAGTTGGTTAAGGTGATTTGAGTTTTTTTAAATAAAAAGCAACATTATAAATTTACTGACATTTTAAAATTCTAATTTAATTATGTTTATTTATTTAAAATTTTGCAAATTCATATAACTTTTTGGAATTTTTAAAATTTTTTCTATAATAAATCTGGTATCATTTTTTTTTCCGGCTGAACCTGGTATCAGTTTATAAATGGATAAATTAATATGAAAAAAATAAATAAAATGAATTAACACATAAATTTAAGACTAATATCTCAGTTCCAGGCTCCAGCTGGCAAGTAATAGTTTACTAGTGTTTTTCGAAAATGCTGTGAGGTAGGTTGAATGAACTCACGTGGAGCAATCCTAGTGGGTCCCACGTGTTTCAAATGAGCGGGCCGTTTCTAACGTCTCTTCCGGAGCAGCTCGGATCTGTCTTTGTGGGAAGTGGAGCGAGCGGCCGCGCCCCACAGTTCCAAATTCTATTTTTTTTTTTAATTATCAATTATTTTTCTTTTTTCTTTTTGGCAAAACAATTATTTTTCATATAATAACTTAAAATGTGCTAATCCCAAATTTAGCTAAACGCCTAAAATAACTCAAAATATGCTAATCTAACAATTATCTAAGCACAACCGTAAAATGGTATGGAAAAGGAAATTAAGTTAAAAATAATTTTTAATGTGAAATATTAAATGAAAATTAATAATGAAAAAAATAGTTTTATTGTATTTTCAATCATAGCGAAAAGCTAAAGTACAAAGGTAGGTAGGCTCTTCCGAATCCCTATCGATATGGTCCAAAAGAAAATTTTTACAATGAGACTTCGGATCTCACTTGTTTTTTTATAAAATAAAAATAGGAAACTTATTTGTCCGTGATATGGCCCACAAAACTAACAAATTTTGGTCTGCAAAATAAAATTGAAAAAAATTACTCTTTTTGTAAATATAAGGCCTATTTTATAAAATTTATACTTAAATATATAAGGTCACATATTTATAAAAGTAATTAATAGTCTTTTTACCAAAATACCTTTAAGATATATCAAAATTACTTATTTCATAGATGATAAATATTATCTCATTTTCTTAATATAAAATCTCGTTTGACTTTTTTTTGTTTTAAATATAAGACCCCAATTTACTTTGTCTCTCATATTTATCCATTTTTTTTTAAGATAGTCCTTCTAAAGCTGACAGTTCTAATTAATACATTTGGTTAGTAAGGATATTTTAGAAAAAACAATACATAGTTATTACAAATAACTAATTAACTTATTTCCTTAATCTTCTCAAATTAGTCAACTAACTCTTATAATTAAGACTAAAGGTAGTAATTAGTATGATTAGTATAATTATCTAGCTATTTTTCTTAGTTGATGTATTTTAGTTAAAAATATCTTACATTTAAAAAAATAAAATATATTACTTATTCTCTTACATAAATACAGTAATAAGAACATATGTAATGTAATCAAAATCAATCAGTATATATGCTAAATGCCATCAATTTTAAGAAAGAACAATAGTAAGGAAACCTGTTTCGTTGCTAATCATTTTAATGAGCACTCTAAACTTATCAGATTTGGATCATCCATATTTCATTTGAATGGTCGGAATTTGATTTTCTTTTTATTTTATTTTTTTAAAATAATTATTTTAATATATGTAGAATATAAAATAAAGATAATCTCTTAACTATTTTTTTTCAAAAATAGTTTTTTACATGTAAAAATATTAAGTAAATATTTTAAATTTGGACCGTCCAAATCAACTATAGACAGTTTACACCTGATGAGCTTGGGATAATTATCAATATGATGAACAACATATTCCAATCGTAAGCCAATAACAGCGAGCAAAAAAGTAAGAACAAATAATTATAAGTGATTAATTTCTAGTAAATGTCTCATAAAGTGCAAATTCACTCAGAAAGTATACGGCCCGGAGTCATGGGTATCAGGAAGTTTTTAAGATCTCAATGTTGCAAAAAAATAGTAACGTCCTGTCTGTTATCCCAATTAATTTTGACTGTTAGTTTGACCATATTAGTGGTGTGGTGTGCCACCTCATCATCTTTTTCTTCCTTTCCTCCGCATCACCCTCAACCTCATTATCTCCATCTTTTCTCATGTTCCTCGATTTCTTCGGAAAAATTAACACGCAAGCAAATTCCCCCCCCCCCCAAAAAAAATATACTTCGACTCAGACAAATTAAACTTCCTTACACGACAAAATCCCACTTAACTCAAAGTGTCAGATCCAGCAGCATTAACGGGTGAAAAAACATCCTTCCAGATTAAAAGGAGCAACGATTTCGATAGTTTCTACTTTTTATTGAAGACTGATCTATGATCACCATGAGGTCAAACTTTCACAGTAACCGTAGTAACAGGGAATAAGCACGCATATCTCAAGAACCCATACATCAATAAGAAGATATAAGATGAAATCAACAAGAGGAATTAACAAGCAGCAGATCAAAAAACACAAACCCAGAAATTAAGAATCCAGAAAACACAACTCAAATTTGAAATCAAATCTACAACCAATTCTAAGAACCTAATATGATCTGAGATGGAAGAAAAAAATAAACAAAGCTTTCCTTTAGACAGTAGTTTGCAGTCGTTGCCATTGTTCATCTTTCCAAATCAACCTCAAGTTGAAACTTTCAAGACTTACATGCTACAAATTAGAAATATGACCAAACAGGGGGGAAAACCTTTCAAATAATCATTTACCAACAAACTGATGCATGTTACATGAGAATGAGATCTTCAAGAAGAAGAACGACAGTGGTAGTGAAGTTGTGTTTCAATATATTTGTTTCTGCTGGTAAACGATGACAAACATATTTCAAGAACCCATAAATTAATTTCCAAGCAGTGATGATAGCGAGTAGAAATGAAGAAAACTATGGCCGCTTGCTTGGAGTTTGACGGCGGCAAGCTGCGATGGACTTGAACGGCGGTTGAGTGAGTGTTGAGGAGAGGAGAACGGGAGATGGGGTGAAGGGATCTCGAAGCGGAATGCTCTTAGCTCTCTTCCTCCATCGAACTCATCTTGTCCAGAATGAAGAACAGTCCTAGAAAAGACGGTGACTTTGATCACCTTTTGGATTTCTCATCGGCATCATGCACATCCTGGATCTACTGCTTCACTTACTCGTGGCTTCCTGGGTGTCTCGTTGGCTCACGCACGTCCTGGTCTTGGATTGGGGAACTTGAGTCGACGGGAGTGGGGATGGAATTTTTTGGAGCCTGGAAGGGGAAGAGAGGGAGGATGATGAGGTGGAAGGTCACGTAGAAGAAGAAAAGAGAGACTGAAATGGTGTGCCACGTAAGCAACATGGTCAAACAATAGTCAAAATTAAGCGGGATAATGGTCAGGACGGCACTGCTTTGTTTTTGCAACTTCTGGGGCAATATTAAAGGCATGGTTGGAACAGCTTATAAGTAGTTTATAAATTACTTTTTAATAGTAATTTATAGAATACGAAACAAGATACAAGAGTAGTTTTATCTCGATTTACGTGAAATATATTTGTAGAGGATTTTCACCACTCTACCAAACAAGACCTAAGACCTCAAAAACTTCTTGACACCCATGACCCGTGACCGTATACTTTCAGGGTGAATTCGCACATTATCCTCATAAATAAACATAGCTAAATAATCATCTACTCATATTCCTTTTTTTTTTTTTTTATACAAATCTACTCATATTGATTTTACCTTCTAAATCTTCTCAAAATCCAATGAAAAACATTTTGAACACTTTAAAAAAAAAATTTCATCATCTTACTCTTTTTTTTTTTTTGCCAACGCATCTTACACTTTTATAAGAGATCTAAAAATCTAAGAATACAAAAATTAAACCATCTTGAGCTCATCTTAGGATTTAACATTTGCAATTATTGCTTTTATTCCAATGGGATTTTACAAGCTGAAGTTTTGGTAAAAGTCAATTGATGTGATGTATACTTATGTTAAAAAGTCAAATTTTAACCAAAAAGAGATCATTTTATTCATTAACAAAAGAAATGTCTATGAAGTATAGAAAAAAAAATCGAACCAAAAGGTACAAATACAAAAGAAAAAAAAACAACAAAACCAAAGAACAAAATAAGGTCCACCAAAAAAGAGAAAACAAGGTCCAGAGCTTTGGCAACAAATCAACCTCCTCCTTCATGATCCAAGCCTTTAGCCGGCAATCATATTAGCATCCAAAATTCTTGCAGATGAGATGATGCTATCGCTAGCCATCCATAGAATCCCATCTCACTTCTTCCAATGGCTGCAAGAAAATTGTTAGCTCTATTTCCTTGTCTAGCAACTAAAGAAATTGAATGAATGACATTAATTCAATTAATCAAAATATATCAAAAAGAATAAAAGAGCTCTGCCATTCAACATTAACTGAAGATTTATTGTGAAGAATTTTGACAGCTCGTCACAATTCATCTCAATACAAATCTTACGATTAGGAAAAATATGAATATACAAAAGAGTATTTTTAAGAAGAAAGCAGTCGATTTCAAAGAGAGTAGATAATTTAACTTTATGTTAAAAAGTCAATTTGAATAACTATTTAGCTTTTGTAATATTAAAAGCTCCAAAATATTGCTTTAGGTCTAACTTGACTTTTAAAAAAGAAAACAAATCATTTGACCTCAATACCAATCCAAACATAAGATTTCGGCTCATGGCTTTTGGAATTTTTATGGAACTTTTGGGGTTAAGAAAGCCAGTTCAAACAACCTCTTGGACTTTTTGTTCTTCCATGAGGACAAATATTTATCTTCCTTGTCCATTTTTCTCTTTTTATTCAAATTATCTCCTCTTTAATTTGAATAAGCCTATAAACAAGTTCAACTTGACATTTTTTTTAATGAAAAAGATAAAATGATATTTAAAAAATATCTCAATTTACAAGTTACAAATGGTTAGCGAAGTAAAATGAGATTTTAAGAAATTATTATAAAAAACTGACATTGGAATTATCCTAAAGTCAACAACAGAAAGATTAAAAAGCAAAGATAAGATTTCGTTCTAAGTGACATTGATAGTTGAAGAAGTTTGTGGAGGAGTTTCAAAGAAAATTGTCCCATCATAATAATAAATCGTTAATAATGTCTTAGCATCTAGTTGCAAGAGTCTTGTAGTATGAATCTAGAAAAGAACAACACAATGGCATTTGGAAAGAAAAAAAAAATGCTGTCCTCGGAATTGTTTTATTTTCCCACAAGAATTCCTCCGTGGATGATCTATTATGATAAACAATTCCATGATAAAAGCGTTTCCTCAATTTTTTTGTAATTATGAATGAGAACATGTCATATCTTTTTTTTTACCAGAGGAGAACATTCCATATCCATCAATTTGTAAAACTGTGTTGGAATCAACAACGTAATGACAATATAAAAAAAAATCAATATCATTCCATACTGTGAAAATTACAAATAAAGACTTCCTAATATGTAAATTTGCGAGACCCTTAATTTGAAAAATAGCAAATAAGGACTGGGTCCCACTTTTGCAAATATGAAATGTTTAAAATGCCCCTCAGCTAAATTGTGATTTGGTCCACTGAAATTGTCATTAACTAAAATGAACTTGTCATTTTTCATAGTCAACTCGTCATGTGGTATACCCTTAGCCAAGTTGTGATTTGATCAATTGAAGTTTTCATTCGCTAAAATGAACTTGTTATTTTTCATAGTCAACTCGTCATGTGACATACCCTCAGCCAAGTTGTGATTTGATCAACTGAAGTTTTCATTCGCTAAAATGAACTTGTTATTTTTCATAGTCAACTCGTCATGTGACATACCCTCAGCCAAGTTGTGATTTGATCAACTGAAGTTTTCATTCGCTAAAATAAATTTGTCATTTTTCATAGTCAACTTGTTATTTGGTATATTCTCAGCCAAGTTGTGATTTGATCTACTGAAGTTTTCATTCGCTAAAGTGAACTTCCCATTTCTCATAGTTAACTTGTCATTTGGCTGAAGGGCATTTCAGACACTTCACTACGATTTCATATTTGCAAAAATAGGACCGGATCCTTATTTACTATTTTCCAAATGAAGGATCCCAAATTACAATTTTACATATTAGAAGTCTTTATTTGTAATTTTTCCTTTCCAGTTTATTATGATGTTCATGGCGTAGAGTAGCTGTATTCAATTCCATTCTCTTTACAATGCTTTAAGAACACTGATTCTCGAATTCATCTTCATGGTTAGACTTAGACCTAATGGACACAATAGATTATTTAAATAATCTAATGTGAGATTTTTTTAATGAATAGTGAAACATAAAGAGTTTTAGAAAAATAACAAAGGATATCGACAAACAGGTTTCCTTATTGGTTAAAGGAGAAAAAGATATTATGAATTAAAATAATACAGGAAATAGTCTAGAAATATATTAGATTGATAAAGAAAAATCTGGCAAAAAAGAATAATGAAAAAAGGCTAATGAATAATTTGAGGATAGTTAAAGTTAGAAAGGCAATAATATAACTTTCCTATCCTCTATATAATTAATTAAATTTTTATAATTTACATAATTTTTCTTTTACTATCCACCACTTCTATTTTTAATCAATATCGAGCCACACATAAAACTTGATTGATTTTATTTTATTATCAATATTTTTAATATATTACTTTGAATAAAATATTAAGATAACATGTGATCAATTATAACAATAAAAGTTAACAAAATTTTACTAAATTTGGATGTCATGCAAATTATAAAAATAAAAAAATTAGACTATTACCAGTATTTTATAATCGCCCAGAAAACTGCTAGGCTTCCAAGAGAAGGGGGTGTGTTTGGATAGAAACTAAACCATGGTTTCAGAAGTGCTTTTACGGATTACGAAGTAAATATGTGGAGGAGATATCTTGTTTTGCGGAAAAGTGCTTCTGAAACCATGGTTTTGAGATACCCAAACAGGCTGGAGAGAATAGATTCTGTGAAGAATAGATTTTGTAAAAAAGTGATTCTGAGAAGTGAAAGTGTTTGGATAGTTGTTATCAGAAGCACTTTTTATATATACAAATTACTAAAAAAAAGACATAAGTTAATATGATAATTACAGAAAAAATAGATTTTATGATATATTTTAATTTGAAGGAATAAAATTGTTAATAATATATTTTTTACCAACATAATTAATAATACATAAGATAATATAATTAATAAATAATTAATGTGTATATATATTTATAAAATATAAGATTAAATATGTTTATCAAAAAATATGTTTATAAAAAAATAACAAAATATATATTATATAGGCTCTCACACTCTCCCTTTTTTCTCCAAAAGTAAAAAAATTTTGCTTTTTCCAAAACCATGGTTTTGGAGTCAAAACCATGGTTTTAACCCAAAACCATGGTTTTGGTTTTTAGAGAGGGTGTTTGGGTGATTGACACCCCAAACCATGGTTTGGGTGTCACCCAAACACACCCTGCCGACATTGACCTCTTCAGTTCGCCCCAAAACCTGGTATTAGGGTTTCAAAAATCCCCGCCAATTCTCTGTTCCCCTCCCCCTTCTCTCATGGCGGTAGAGGACCAGAGTCCGGTGACCCCTGCACCAATTCCGACACGCGGCGACAAAGTCTCTGAGACTGGCTCTTGCCACCTTGCCACGGCGCCATCACCTGGTAATCCAAACACTAGTGACACTTCTCCGACGAAGCCAGCCAGCCCCAAAGATTTCATCATTTCTGTTGCCTCCAAGATTGCTTCCCAGCCTCTTCAGAACTTCGATCCTAGCGTTTGGGGCGTCCTTACTGCTATTTCTAACAACGCTCGTAAAAGGCAACAGGTTGCATGACCCCATTACTATTAATTGCATCAGTCTCTCGTTCTGGTTAATTGTAGATTTTTATTCAACGTTTTATATAATTTGCTGTTCTAAAAGGTTCTGTCTTTCCTTTGGACTCGTGGATGGGTGTATTAAAGTTTTCATGACCTTATCAGGCTGCCATTACTGAGATTCTGTTGTGATTAGTAAGTAGGAAGTTGGCCTATTTAAAGAAAGAAGTAAGATTGGTTTCTTTCGATCTTTTTAAGAAGTTACACATACAGTTAATGCAAATGAAAAGTAGATTTTGCACCATCCTTAAAGCTTTTCCATGAAAAGATGAATAGGTAGAAGTAGAAATCACTGTATATTTGAAGTATTCAGTATATTGTGTGAGAGCTGTCCAAGCTTTAAACATCATTAACATCTTGAATCAACTATATTGTGAGGCAAAATGTCTTAAGACCGAAGAGTTGTGAGGGTTTTAAAACCGGAATTTCGAGTTCGTATTTTCGTCAATTTGGCTTTGGCCCATAGTTTTATGTTAAGTTTATCTTTGCTCGACAATTTATTACACCTGCGCATTTTATCTGATTGAAAGTTTGTAACCAGGGTATTAATATATTATTAACTGCCAATGAGCACTGTATTGGGCGTGTGGTAGAGGATATGCGCTTCCAGATTGATTCTCCTGCTGTTAGTGCTAAACATTGCATGTTATACAGAACGGAAGGCACTAATGAAAAAATGGAGAGCGTGGCATCAATTTGGTTGAAAGATACAAGGTGATTTTCATATCCTGCACCCCCCATCCCCTTTCTAACCAAACGGAAGAGCACGGTTTTTCTTTCTTCTTATATTCTGATTCTTGCAAAGCCTTGTACAGCACAAATGGAACTTATCTCAACTGGGAGAGGCTCAAAAAGAACAGTACTGCTGTCAAAGTTTGTCATGGAGATATCATATCATTTGCTGCTCCTCCTCAGCATGGTAACAGTTAATCTTCCAATTCTCTCAGTGTTTATAACTTCTATCTAATTGGCTATTTTTTCAGTTTTTGTATGCTGGCACACTGCTTTTAGTGTATTCCATCTTTTAGTTTTCTTTAATAATACATTATTTCCTGAAAAATATTTATTAGCCATTTGATTCGAGATCTTGTTCTTTGTTTCCGCATTTCACCTGTTACTGTGATTTTCTTGTTACATGCTGAAAAATTGCCTGTAGAAATTTGTTGCCTTTGGTCTATCTTTATTTATTTGTCTATTTATTTTCTTTGGTGAGACATAAAAAGTATTCTCTGCCTTTGGTCTGTATATTGGTGAGGCTTTGGGGATACATGTGTGTTCTCTATCTAAATTATTGAAGGTTCTGTTTTATCATACAGAAGTTGCATTTGCTTTTGTATTTCGAGAGGTGCTCAAGTCTGCTTCTTCGCTGGATAATGGAGCTGCTAAAAGAAAAGCAGGTAATTATGTGATCCGGAGCACAAATATTCAATAATTCAATTCATTCTTACATTATACTTTGCACTATGCTCAATTTGAGTACTGGCTCCTCGTTGGACATTTGATCAGATGTCAGGGACGGCAAAGGAAAATAAAGGAGAATGATCTTTAGTAGTAATTTTGGGAAAGAATTCCAAATATAAATTCATAATTCAGGACCATCTTAAACCAAGACTCCCTAGTCATGAACTTAGAGCAGCACTAACACAACTGGCAGATGCTAGACACATGGCTGATAAATTAACCGACATATGCATGACAACTGATTCATGCATTAGCTCCTTGAATTAGGCATGATGGCATATGTGCTTCAATCATTCTAAAGTGGGGGGGGGGGTATGTGGGAAAAGATTCAGTTATTCAGTATTATCAAAATATGTTATTTTAAATGTTCATTGCACTAATATAATAATGTGATTTACAGAAATTTAGAAATAATGTCTCATCTTGTAACATCTATCAAATATACGTATAATATATGTAGCATATCTCCTATTCTCCTTATACGAAGGAGATGTGAAATGACAGTGAAAAATCATTTTTTTCCTCCACAAATTTTCAGGCTTGCTAAACTGAGTTATATTGAGTCAGCTTATCCATTGGTTTAGGCTCAGATTTTGGATCATGACACATCTTAGTAACTCAATTAACTCATTTTCGTGATCTTTGTTGACACATGGACCTACATTAGTTTTGCTAAAGAGTAGAAAAATATAACAACATCATAATAAATATAATTGTCTTAATGTAAAAGTTCTACATATTTAGCATTGATAAGATATTATTTGGGATTACCATGTAACCAAAAAAGAAAATTATTTGGTGTTAACACAATATTCATAATTTCAAAATGGAATAATATTCTATAAATTTTTATGATCATTATTTTGGCTGAAACTACATCTTACTGGGTTCAAGATTGTTATTTGCCTATGCCAATAAGTTAATGGGGATGAACTGTAAATTTAGAGGGGTAAAAGCTAGTATATGTACATATTATACATATAAATAGATTTTTTTGGAATTGGTTCTTAACTGAATATTAGTCTATAATTTTTATAGTCATTATTAAATGGTTATATGAAGGCTTGTGGATTGGTCTCATATTCTATCAACTTTTGGTGCTATGCAAACTAAGGGGCCAGCTGATTGGTGCCATAATGGTCTCATAGTTTGGTTGAAACTGGATGGGCAATGGGTCCAAGATTGTCGTTTGCCTTGTGCCAAAAAGTTAATTCTTTTGGTGCGTTGAGGGGAAGGGACGGTAAGTTTAAAGGATGCAAAGCCTCTACATGTATCATGCATATAAATGCATTTTTTTCTGGGTGGCAGGAGTCACCCCTTGAAAACCAAATGTAGCTCCATCATTGCACTTTTATGAACCCCCTATCTTGCTTCTGTTTGACCAATTTAAACTCTCCTTCAGTTGTAGCATATTTTTTCTGCTACATGTTATTATAGGACGCAGCTGACCTGGCGTGTTATCAATATTGGTTTAAAGTTTCAGATATATGATAAGATTCGTGGTTTGCTGTGCATCTGTGTGATTATAAAATTACGCATTGTGCTATCTTCTTAATATTTGATGATCAGGAAATGATACTTGGATTTTTATTTCACTTTGGTATATATTTTCTGTTGTTTTAACTTTCCTGTCTTTTCTGCCCATTTTTCTTCTATTTGAATATGTAGAGGAATTTGTTTCTGAAAACAAGAGATTAAAAGGATTAGGAATCGGTGCTCCTGAGGGTCCCATATCACTTGATGATTTTCGAAGGCTCCAAAGATCAAACACGGTGGGTTTCATTTAGCATATTTACAGTATTAGGGAGTGGTGCACCTCTCGTTCTTTGATGTTATCCTGTATTGTTGTTTGCAGGAACTAAGAAAGCAGTTAGAAGATCAGCTTGTATTAATTGAGACTCTGCGTAATAAAAATCGTGCAGCTGTTGAGCAACATGGAAGTGTATGTTATTGTTAGTTCTTTTTACCTTTCTGCTTGTTTCATAAGCTACACTCATGATGTTTAACAACTAACCATGTGGTGTATGGATTCTTGAAGTGCTTGATGATGGTTTCTACTTATTCTTCTACGAATATAGGCTACAATACCAACTAAGGTTATGTTCCATTCTTCAGGAATTAAAATCAGTCAGAGAGTCCGTTGAGAAATCTTACCTTGATCAATTGAAAGAATTACAGCAGATGGTGGATCTCAAACAGAAGGAAGTAGGTGAAATCAACAGAGTTTCTGCTGAACAAAAGCATGCTGTGGAAGACTTAAATGAAAGGCTTAATGCTTCTATGCAGTCGTGTAATGAAGCAAATGCCATAATAAGTAGGTAGGGTTTATTTTATTCCTATGGATTTAGTATTAATAATTCTTAGTAATGGTTATAGATGTAATATGACAAGATTTAAGATGTAATTAACTACAGTTTCAACTACCCATGACTAAATTTTGGATGATGTGATGGCCTATTAAAACAAAATTGAATTGGTACTGGGATACGTTTCATTCTTTTCGTTGGCTAAGAATATAGGGATTTGAGAGTTCCTACTGTATTAGAGGCTGACTATTCCTTAAAAATATTTTTGGTTCTGGACTTTATGATGGTGTATAAAATTTGTACACCTATGAGATAAATGAAGGTGCTGAATCTGCTGGGCACCAAGTTAAGGTTTGCTTCTGTCTTGAGTTTTGAATTACAAGAAGCAATGACATTGGAATGCTTTTTACAGAGATCATTGTGCAGCCCCTTTTTACCTCTTTCCAGATGTTTGGCATACAAGCTTACAAGCTTAAGACATTCTGCCACTTGCTGAAAAAAGTATAATAATTAAAGGGACATCATTTTTTTCCTCATAATACAATTTTCCATATCTCATCAGAAACTCAAGGTTCATTGTTTTCATCTTCCTCTGATGGCATTATTGGCCGTGATTCATTTTTCATTTTCTGTTCTCTCTACCAGTCAACAGAAGATCTGTTGAGGCCTTCAATTGTGGTTTAATGTCAATTTGAGTGGAATCTCTAGCTCTCCTTCTTTGCTTATGGCAAGGGAACATAAGTGAAACCGTACCTGAAATTTGCAGAGAACTTAAAGCTATTGGTTTTTTTCTCCTTATGGTGATATTAGTACTCCTTAATCACTGTTTACTCACGTTTGATGGGCATTTAATATATGAAAATCAGGGAACAATTAGAAACTTCCATGGTTTTTTGCAGCTAGAATTATTGGAGAAAGAATAACAGGATCTTTAAATTCTTGGTCTTGTGACAAATGCAGTTCAATCATCTGTAGTCTAAATTTTTAAATTTGGTGCGCCAAACTTAAAATTCCCCTAAAAGTTGAGAGGTGTAAATTAGATTTCACCCTTCGGTGAATGTCTGTGCTCATATATGCTTTCTTTTCTTGTGTTTATGTGTCATGTTCTGAAAACCTCTCTCGTTACCAGGCTTCAAGGATTTGTATTTTCGAACATGTTTCTTTGCAAATTTTGATTGCTCTTAGGTGGTGGATTTATATTTTAGTTTGTTTTCCCTCATTTGTCTCTGATGGCTAAAAGTGCTATTTAATTTTTGGACAGCTCAGTAATAATCTCCTTTTCTTGTCAGTCAAAAGGTAAATATAGCTGAACTTGAGGAGCAATTACATGAAGAACAAAGTCAGCGAAAAGAAGAGCGAGAAAAGGCTGCAGCTGATCTGAAAGCTGCTGTACATAGAGTTCAATCTGAAGCTCAAGAGGAATTGAAACGATTCTCTGATGATGCATTAAGACGAGAAAGAGAGTTACAAGAATCGATGAAGAAGCTGCAGGTTCTAGATTTTATTTTTTGACTAAATCAGTGAGGAACTCTTTTTGTTATTAGGACACTCAAATTGTTATTTTATATTCGATTGCAGGAGTTGGAGAGGGAAAGGTGTTTGCTAGTTGAAACCTTGAGGTCCAAGCTGGTAAGATTTTCATTTTGCTTCAGTTAGCCTGAGTCAAAGTTTTTCTGAGCCCTGAACATTTGAAGTTTTTATCCTTTATTCATTCTCTGCTTGCAGGAGGACACCAGGCAAAAGGTGGTTGTCTCTGATAATAAAGTCCGGCAGTTGGAAACTCAAGTTCATGATGAGCAGCTTGCTTCAGCAAATCATATAAAGGCAATTTGATTATTTAAAATTCAGTATCTTATTTGTTTGCAACAATTTGGTTGATACTTAGCTGCAACTATATGCTCATACATTTTGTTGTGTTGAATGTTGGATCAGAGAGTAGAAGAACTTGAGCAGGAAACAAGAAGATTAAAGAAAGAGCTTCAGAGTGAAAAGGTAGAGATAAGAAGTTTATGTGATACAGTACAAAGAAATTCTTTTCGAGTTTTTAATAAAAATACATCTGCCTTAACTTCTGCTAAACTTACCAATGTCATTCAATGAAACTGCAAAGTAATTAGTATCATGATGCTTTTAGACCCATGATTCAGAAGCTACGAGTGCCTTGTTCCTGGAAAAGAGAATCTTGTGGTTGAGTCTTGTTATCTTGTCTTGGCTATCCAGTACTTGTTTTTCCTTTCCTATTCTTTAAATACTTTGATAGCTTACTCCTTAGCTTTTCTAGTGCACTTTTTCAAGCTGAGATAGATTTTTGCTGTCGGTAGCAGGCAGCTCGAGAAGAAGCATGGGCTAAGGTTTCTGTTCTTGAGCTTGAAATGAATGCTGCAGCACGGGATCTTGATTTTGAGAGACGAAGGTTTAAAGCTGCCAGGGAAAAACTCATGCTTCGGTAAAGATTTTGGAGCAATGGAAATTTCAATAATTGGATAACATGTATTTGATAAAACTCAGAAGTTTATATTGTGAATCAGTCTTGCTGATATACTGCATTGATTTGCGTGCATACAATTTGACTCTCCCCGCATACATGTTAGATGTCAAGTCCTGAGTTTATGGACGTCTGTGCAACATTTACATTTTGTCTTGTTCTTTGCCACGATGGTAGATTTTAAAATTTTGCTGCTGAAGCCCTGGAAATTTGAAGTGATTAGAGAAACTGAGGCTGGATGCTTGTCATGCAGGGAAACACAGCTACGAGCATTTTATTCAACAACCGAGGAGATACAAGTACTGTTTGCTAAGCAGCAGGAACAATTGAAAGCAATGCAGAGAACCTTAGAAGATGAAGAGAATTATGAGAATGCTTCTATTGACATGGATGTAGTCATTGGTGGAAACTCAGGTCAAGGAAATGAAGTTGCTGCATACCATGCTAAAAGTTCTGCCAAGGCTGGATCGACATCATCTGCACAGAAGCATATTGGAGATCAAGCGGAAACATCCAGCAATGAGGCCAGCGTAACCGAGAAGCATGATTGCGATGTCAGGAGTGAAGATTGCCAAAATACACAAGAGGCAGAATTCACCAGTGCAGATCACGACCATGGTGCCAAAGATGGCTTTGGTTCTGACATTGATGGTGGTGGCACTTTGAAGGAGGGAGATGCTGTTGACACTGAACGTGTACTTGAAACTCAAAGTCCTGCCAATTATAATGAACAAAAAGTTGATTTGAATAAGGATCCTGCTTTAGTTGGGGAAACAATGCAGTTTGATGACGATATGAATGTTCAAGACACTGAGGAGCAAGGTCAAACAACTTGTCGGGAAGTTCATGTGGACACACAAAAGACCATTGTTGAGGACACTGAAGCTGGAGGCACAATCAGAACTGCGGATCTTCTAGCTTCTGAAGTTGCTGGTAGCTGGGCTTGCAGCACAGCGCCTTCTGTGCATGGAGAAAATGATTCTCAAAGGAGCAGGGACAACAATGAAGGTGCTGGGGATGATTCGATTCATCCAGTGGCAGAGTCTCAGAGTACTCCAGATGCTGCTGCTACTAAATGGAATTCTGAACTCCGAGCACTTAGCGAGATGATTGGCATTGTTGCTCCTGATCTGAGGGAGCAATTTGAAGGTTCTGTGAATGATTGTGATCAACAGAGAGGAAAAGGTGGTACTCGGCCTGATTCAGATACTCAAGCTGCAGAAACGCTGACAATGATGCTCAAATCAAAAAGTGGATCTGCATCTGATGCAGAGACTAGAGGTAATGACCATGTTGAGGAAGATGGAGATTCCGAAGCCACTCAAGATAATAATCCCATGGATGAAGATTCCGAAGCCACTCAAGATGATCCTCTTGGGTAATGGGCAGTGGTATTTTGATTGAAATTTGTGTTTTAACTACCGATGCCCGTCCAAACGGGGGACATTCAGGGTTGCCTTCAAATGAGTCGGTGATAGGTGCTATCCTGGCAGTTGCATGTGATACATGCTTGTGGCCCATAGAGCATCCATGAAGTGTTCCAGTTGGGCCGCGGATGCTAAAGCCCTCTGTTGTGAGCCTTCTTATCTGTGGCTATTCCTGTCCTCTCTTCTCTGGTTGTCAGGTATCATATTGTATATACTTAGTTGGCTTTGTCAATATTTAGCTATAGGTGGGATTGTAATTTTAGTCCGTGGTTCAAGCAACTTAATAATTGTAGTATTTATTGGGATAGCTTTAGTCTTGTGATGTATTTATTAGGGAAGTTTATTCTTATATTTAGTTTTCAATGTGGTTTTGCATATGATTAACACTGATGCTCTCCATTCCATTCAATTCTATGAGTGACCAAACTTTTAGAGCCAAATGGAAAACCGAACCTATGATATGAGCACATCTTTAACTAGCTCTTTTTATGTCTCACATATATCCTTTGGTAAAGTGCAAAGTCATTTTTTCACCACGGGCACCAAATCTTTATGAAATGTGGGGTAAAAGTTCCTCAATTCACCTGTCACCAACCTAAATCGCCATTAAAGTCATCAGACATGGAGAATTAGTAATTACTTTAGGTTTGCTCAGTGAGAAACTCGACTCCAGTAACAGGACTTTCTTTTTCCCCCCTAAAAAAGCCGAACAAGACACTCTGGTTAGTGGTTACGAGGTCCATCCTTGACACTTGGGAGGAACCGAAGAAAGAGTTTTAGCTTTAATAAACATTCATTCATCATCTAATACTGCCGACTTGTATGAAGTCAAACCAAATTGGGGAGAAACCATTTCGTATTTGCTCAGAGTTTCCTACAACTCGCTATTCAAAGCTGCTGATAATTTATTATGAAAATAATTCAATATCATCATTACCCAAATTACAAAAGTAAATTATGCAAGTCTTGAAAGTTCAAATTAGGGGAGCTTGATATTATATTAGCAAAAAGTTATTAGTGCACAAATCCTGACCAAATGATGTAATGTTTATCAAATTCATATCATCATTACTCAAATTCAGACATTCTTTCATTATCATTTGACTTGAGTATTTAAATCTGCTGCCACGTTATTGATTGCATATACTACTTTTTTTTTGTTAATTAAATTACAAAAAACTTCCCTGAACTTTGAACCATGTACAAATAAGCTCTCAACATTTTAAAACTTAATCCTAAACCCACCTAAACTTTTAGTGCTACATGGGTAAAAGTCAACCACCAATTATATACCTCTTAAATTATATTTCTGTGTACATGACCCTCTCAAGTTTAAATTATATGCATATAAGCCTTGTCCAAACGAACATGTGGACGTGGTCATTAGAACACTTCCCCTCCCCTCCTTTCAGCTGAACCAAAAATTTCCTTAATATCTGTGCAGATAATAGAATTATCTGTACAAGTGTAAGGATTTAGTAGGATGCATAGCAAAGCTTCAAAATTTAAGGAGGTTATTTATATATAACATAAAGTTCATAGGAGTTAAGTATAATTTCCTCTTTTTTTGGGAAAAAAATATTGTTGAAAACTGTATGGTGTTGGAGAATTTAAGCCAAATGAAAGGACTTTGCGTGAATAGAAGAACTTTCTGATTCAGATATTCGAATCCAAGTAAGATAGACAAATGAGAATAATGGTTGGGCTACAAATAGGGGAACAGAGGTCCATCGCTATTTAATTTCATAATGAGATTAATTCTTCATATAGTACACTTAGTGGGTCATGTGCAATCGAACCCTCTCGCTTGCCTTTTTAAATTTCCAATGCTATTATGATCTTCCCTGACTTCAATTCCAACTTCATCAAATTGTAATCATATCATATTTCATGTAAAAAGTTTCATTATTAGGATATGAATAAATTAAATTATTAAAAATATTTGTTGTTATTAATATATATACACATTTCTCCTCAGTTTGCATGATTTATCTTTTTTAATTTTTGTGGATTCAAAACCTCAAAAGCTGAAATTCAATTACTCTTCAAATAAACAATACTGTTGTATTGAGTTTGTCCAAAAGAAATTTTGATCTCCCAAACTGCATGAGATATTCTGATCTCTGTATCCATCCAGAACATGCAAATCTCCTATGAGCAAAGATTTAAATGTTAAAAACTAAGCAATACATATATGAGGTCTTTTTCCTGATTGAACTTTTTTCTCTGGGGTAAACTTTTGCTGATTAAAGTTTGAGAAGGAATATATAATTAGGGTTGACATTATATTTTGAAGGAAAACAAACCCTTAAATTACCAATCTCATGGATTTTTTAAAATTATACATCCCTTTTTTCTAGACAGTTCTGCCAAATTAATGCAGAACCTCTTCCCACTTCCAACTCTCACCATAAAATTAAGTTACCTAATGTTGTAAACCAAGATGGAAGATAGATATAGATATATATATATATAGAGAGAGAGAGAGAGAGAGATGTGTTGTGATGAGTTTGTGTTGTGTAAGAGTTTGTGCAGACAGAAGAAGAAGAAGAAGCCAAGGGATAATGATGAAGAAGAGGAAGTTTAGGGAGGTTGAAGATGGGTATCAATGGGAGTGGATATAATAATTGAGTGGCAGAGAGAGGTTTTTGAGAGATGAGAAGGACCACAAAGGCTACATCATATGGTTGATGTCGAGACATGCATGTCGCAATATGACTCCCACAGTGAATTTCATAATATAAATTAAACTCTTTTTTTTATTTTTGCTATCCAACTCACTTCAACTCATTCCTTTTGTTTTTGCTTTCTCCACTTACATCACCTATTCATGTCTTCTTAATTGCTTCTTCTACTAATAATCATCTTCAATAACCTATCTTAGTCTTGTAATCCTCCGGTCTAAAATATAAGAGCTATTTTGTAATGTAAATTATGCTATAAAATAGGTTTTATATTCAGGATCGGAAGATACTAGTATTTTACACAAAGTCTCAAAAATTAATTCTCTTCAATAATGTGCCTTAATTTTGTACATGGAGTCTCAGAAATTAATTATCTTCAATAACGTGTCATGGTTTCTTGTGTTTTACACGAAATCTCAGAAATTAATTATCTTCAATAACATGTCTAATCCTATGTTTTACACGAAGCCTCATAAATTAATTATCTTCAATAACCTATCTTGGTCCTGTGTTTTACACACAGCATCAGAAATTAATTATCTTCAATAACTTGTCTTAGTACTGTGTTTTATATGGAGTCTTAGAAATTAATTATCTTCAATAACCTGTCTTAATCCTATGTTTTATACGGGTTCTCATAAATCATCCACATGTACATTCTCATGTAAAGTAAATTTGTGAGATAATTTACATTATTTTAGAGAGGTTATATATACTCTAATTGAGTTCCAATTTAAAATAATTTAACTTGTGGAATGATTTTTCTTAATTTTTTGTGAGAGATTATTTGATACTTTCTTAACTTTAGATATATTTTGTGGTTTCCTCTTAGCGTTCTATTAGCAGGTAAGAAGATTAGAGTAAAAGTCTCAAGATGCATCCAATAATAAATTAGAAAGATTAAATTAATGTGAAAAGGTTTTGTATGTATAATTAATTGATTGATTTAATAGATTGTGCAAATGGTTCATTTATGTTTGGGTGGATGTTGCTTTTTCAAATTTTCTTCACACATTACCTAAAGTATATACTATATGAAGCCCGGTGGGACGTAGAATTTGTGGACTTTCTCACTAATTCGTTTCTTAAAGAGCGTGTGACTTCATTAAAAAAAAAAATTATCCGAAAATCTTTATAAGTTATTATTTTGTTTGAATTGAACGCTTATTGATCTTTTAATTTTAATTTATAAATTTTATATGAAATTTCATCCACAAATGCTAGAAACGTTATGAAATAAAACCAAGGAGATTTAATAAAGCACATGAAATCCTACAAATTAAACTTAATGATTCCTACACCGAAGGGTCACGAATGCCTATAACACATCAAACTATAAGAATCTAATTTAAATAAAATAGGCAACAACATCCTAATTTAATAGGCAACAAGAGCCTAATTTAAAGTTATATGTGAATTAATTTTTCTTTAATTTCATTAATTAATGTTTTTGGCATTTGGAAGGTGAGAGTCGTTAGGTTTGAGCCATCAATGGAAATAGGTTAAGGTTGTTGACTACAACTAACACCTAAATCAATCAAATCATCTAATTATTCCAGCAGGTCAAAACCTATGTCTCTTATAGAGTAAATTAAATCCTTGCATATGAATAGTGAGTTTAATTTGATTTTTTTAGGACTAGATCATTATTTTTAAAAGAAATTTTATATATTAAAATGATTATATTAGTTGGTGGTAGTATGCTCTTCCAACTTTCTCGTTAATTACATAATATTTTCTGCAATATGAATATTCTTTTCTCTTTTTTGTTTGTTTGTTTTTGCCTTTAACTTGATATATTCTATGAATGTTCATGTGAAGTTGGTTAAATATATTTTTGGCTAAAGTATATTTTTAGTCTTTTATCTTTACATAAAGTTTCATTTTAGTTTCTTAACTTTAAAGAGTAAACTTTTGGTCCTTTAACCCCATAATCGTTAATAAAAAAATGATGATATTAAACTCTTCAATGTTGATAAAAAATTATCAAATGCTAACATGTTAAGTTTAATTTTCAAAATAATAATAATTGTTACAAAAAATTATCATTTAAGACTAACAATTTTAGGGTTAAAAGACTAAAAGTATAATTTTTAACATAAAGTTAAAGGACCAAATATATACTTTAGTCTAATTTTTTTAAGAAAAAGATATTTTAAATTTTGATGGGAAAATGTTGAAGCTGAATTTTCTTACTAATTATAGATATGGTCAGACACTTTATCTATTTTGGACTTGATTTCTCAGTCTTTTGTGTTTAAAGAAATTAAATTTTCAATGGCAATAACCTTCCAAGATGATTTTTTTTCCCTCTATGTCATCATTGGTTCTATTTTGAGAATATAAAATATTTAATATATAAGTTAATTAAAAATTGAGTAAATTTATATTATTTAGTATTGGGTTTGATTATTATTTGAGCCAAAAAATATAATAAGCAAATAAGTGAAATTATTTTTAATTCTGAATATCTATTTTTGATGCGTTGACATTTCTGTTTCAAGTTCTGCATATATAGATATGGGTGATATGATATATAACAAATTTGCTTTGGAAAAGTTGGAAAAGAATCTCCCACTAAAAATTTTTGTGGTGAGAATAATCTAAATCAAAATACTGACTCGATATAAATTAATCTTTTTCAAATCCTTCTTACTAATAAAATTATTAATGCGAAAATTTTTCCCAATCTTCCCATTTGCTTTC